GTTGCTGGCATATAGTAGGCATTCAGTAAACATTTGCTGAAATTAACAAGTAAGTGTTGCCTGCCTGTCCTAAAAATATATTTCTGACAAGTATTCATAATATGTTTCTGCCTTCTCCTAAAAGATGGATTAATCCTTTATATTTAATATTTAGCACATGGCCTGACACTAAGTACTTTATTTGTTCACTGATTGACTAACAGCAGTTAGTTATCATTTATTGAGTACTTTCTGTGTACCAAACACGATGCTAAAATACTTCACAAGAATTAGCTCATTTAATCACCCTAACACTCCTGTGAGGTGGATACTATTATTCCTATTTTAAGAGATGAGGAAAATAGGGCTCTGGAGATTAAGTAACTGGTCAAAGATCTAATTATATTACAGAATGAAACAACTACAACACAAGATAAAATATGAAAAGGGCTACATGAAAGGCAAGAACAAAGTGCTATAGAATTCAGAAGGATATCTTACTTCCAGTTTGGAAAGCATAAAGAATGTATTTGGGAAAGGTCCATGAAGAAGGTAGCATTTAAACTAGATCTTGTAAAAGAGGCAAGATTTCCAAAGGAAAGGATGGGTGGGGAAGAGACTGCTTAGGTCATTTTCTCTACCAGGAATGCTGAAGTACATACCAAGAAGGTGGTCTGAGTGGAATGCAGCATATGTGGATAAACATTAAATGGAGTAAGACTAGTACAGTCAACAGGAAGGCCTTGAATACCAGACCCTATGGGTTATGATTTTATCCTGTAGACCATAAGGAGTCCACGAAAGTTCCTAAGCTAAGGAGTACAGTGATAGGGATCAGGTGAGTGTTTTAGCAACACTGCTATAGCACAAATGGTCATGGTAGAGGAGGCTGTAGGACAGATTCAGAGGGCTCCTGAAATAACACACCTTTACAATCTACAATATTTTTTGATATCTAGTATTTTACTGAATCTTCACTATCAACATTAATAAATAGTATTATCCATATTTTCATGTCAAGGAGCCTGAGACTCATCAAGGTTAAAGACCACAGAATTTATAGGCTCTGTGAGACTATGTTGTGACAAAAATCAACACGAAGCAATTTAGGGACGACATCAGTAACAGGATCACACAGCATCCAACAACTGCCAATACAGAAAGGGAAGAAAAGAATAAGGAACCAAAGATGGGTAAGATTTTTATCTTATGCCCTAGTGTCTGGGCCAATGGTTCCACTGTCAACAAAAATGCAGAAAATTTGGAGGGAGGGATAAATCAGGAGTTTAGGATTAACAGATACACACTACCATATATAAAACAGATAAACAAGGACCTGCTGTACAGCACAAAGAACTATATTCAATATCTTGTAATAACCTATAATGGGAAAGAATCTGAAAACATATATATATATATATACATATATATATATACACACACACACACATCTGAATCATTTTGCTGTACTCTTGAAACTAACACAGCATTGTGAATCAACTATATTTCAATTAAAAAAAAATGCAGGAAAGGCATGCCAGAAAGGGGGAATGAGTTTGATGCTTGTGGGACACTTGGTTTAGTGCCTTCTCAATTTAGTGCCTTCCTGACCTGGAGGAGTTATCAGTTAGAAAGGTTTTGTTACTTGCAGCCCAAAGCAAACTAAAGCAGCCTTCAGTATCCTAGTTGAGCCCCACTGACAGGACAATTTCAAAAAGATCATGAAGAGTTCAGGTTCTTTCCATCTTGTCTTCCCTCACCCTTAGAACTGCCTGTTCTTATTTATGAATTCTGCCTCATGATCCCAGCATCGCTAATGGCAATTTCAGCGTCAGAAAAGGGCTCTTTCCTTTCCTGAGGCAGAATACTGCCCTTAGAAGCCCTTATTTTGGTTAGAACCATACTACCTAAGCAGTCCTCTAGAGCTAGTAAGCTCTGACCTTGTGCAAGATACTGAACCTCTCTGTGCTTCAGTTTTTTCAACTTAGAATGTGAGAATCTGATAATTAAATGAATTAGTATTACAGTACTTAGTGTCTAGCACATAGCAAGTTCTATACAAGTGTTGGTTATTATAGCTTTCTCATCTCTCTTTGTTTTTTGAAGCTCACACACATAGCTTGGTTAAATTACAAGTTGGAAAAAAAAAAACCTGCCAAATTTCTTTTAAACAAGAAAGGCTTTTCCAGAAGTCCTCCAGGCTTCCCCTCACATCTAATTAGCCAGATCTGCATCACATGCCCATGCCTAAATTGATCACTGCTTAGGGAGATAGAATTTACAATGACTGGTTTAGAGTTTATATTAATCAAGACCCACCCTGTGGGGCTGGGAAGATGCTGCCAGATTCCTGATTAGCAGGATGGCAGGAATAGAGATAAAACAACCAGTATCTGTCAAGACTTAGTCTTGAGAGGCTGTGGTCTCTGCTAGGGAGGATTAGAAAAACTAACTTCTAGAGCTGCAAGCATCACTCCCACAGGGCTCCTAACAGCAGTGAAATCACTACAAAGTGTGTTAAGGCTAGTCAAGTTTGGTGCATGCGAAATAGTATAGGATACAGGCCAGAGCTTGAAGAGAGTATGCTTAAGAGGTAATGCAATACAGCAGGTTCTAGATTCGTGGAGGTGTGGTGCAGGTCATGTCAGTGTCCCCAGCACTAGGGTCCAGATTATCAGCCTTGGATTAGTCACCTAATCTCAAGCCCTGTTCACTCATTTATAAATGGGGATAACCCAAAGAACCTCAGATTTGATGTTAGGATCAAATATAAGGATCACCCCTGTGGTATAATGATCAGAGAAAAAAACAAAACAAAAAACAACCCTCCCTGAAAAAGCCCACAGAACAAAAACATCAGTAGCTGGGTGTTCAGAAAGACAACGTGCAAGGTGAGGCAGGAAGAGGTACCAGAAACAGAGCTGCAGAGAAAAGGGGAGGCTGCCTGATGCTAGACTAAAAATGCCTTTCAGGACCCCAGTCAGTTTGTTGCTCTACGGAAGAACTTTCATTTCAAAGGCTACCAGAAAAGGACTAACTTTAATCACACCTTAAGTCTTCTTAGAGGTTTATGTGCAGCAAAATGGGTAAGAATCCTACTTCTGGCTTTGCTGCTTACTAGCTGTGTTATATTCTCTGAGGTAGTTTCCCAATCTGTAAAAAATGAGTAATTAACTGCCAAACTTATTTCACTGGGCTTAATAAACTAAACATTAGCTCCTTCCCTTTGAGGCACCAGTATTCCTGAAATTGAAGGAATACTGAATTGAAAATCTGTAATATAAAAGCCCTCAGAAATTTTCATTGATACACAAAGCTGCAGTTACAAAGACAGGCCTATCAGTCTTAATAGAGGATTCTGGAAACCGGACTGCTTAAGGGAAAGAAACTAACATTACTGAAGGTGGGAAAGAATCTGTTCTGATATTTATACAGCCCTTACTGGTCTGCAAACACTGTGGTATCTTATTTAGTTCTCAAACACCTCGATGATAACACTGCCCCCTCCCCTCTTTCTAGAGATGAGAAAAGGAAGGCTCAGAAAGGAAGGAAAATAACATTTATTGTGGACTGCGCTAGATGCTTTCCATATGCGTTACTGCACTTGACATTTAAGTGACTTCTCTGGATGATAGCTAGGCAGTAGCAGGCAGGATTATAATATCAGATCTAGTAATTGCCTTGCAGCTCAAGGGAATAATTTATGTTTCCTCAGGATCAGGGAGCTTACAAAACTCAATCCCAGAATCTCATTTATCTCCCTCACCTCCAACACACACACACACACACACAAATAGCTGGGGTTAGCAATTCACTTTGGAATTTTTCAGTTTCTTTCAGATTAAAGATTTCAGAGTGGGCCCACTAGCAAAAACAAAACAAAACAAAACAAAACACCTTTACAACTCTGCCCAGGATTAAAAGCTTTCTTTCCCCCTTTTCCAGCACAACCACTAGGGGGCCAGGCCATAAAGAACAGCAGCTATAAACTAGGGCTCTGGAGTGATCACCCTGGTTTAAGCTGACTGTGTGACCTTGGGTAAGTTACTTTACCTCTCTAAGCCTCAGCCTCCTTATCTGTAAAACAGGGATAACAGTAGTATCTATCTCACTAAGTTGTGCATATTAAATAAAACGTGACAATAAAGCAATCAGAACAATGCCTGCACATAGAAAAAGCTTAGCAAAGTTAATAGTTTTTATTGCTGGACTGAAGTACCACTGATGGTTCTGTCCCTAAGTCCAAAGACTCCGCCATCATATTATCTCTGAGCACAGGCCTGGCTAGCCAGAGTCCCTTTAGAAAGAGCAACAGGTCTCTCCTTTTCTCCTAACCGGGGATGGGTCCAGAAACCTAAAGTCCCCGACCTATATATGGCCACGAGGTCTTGGCACTGGTTTTCTACCACTACAACGGCTGTCACTCTGAACCCAACCGAACCACCCCATTTCCGCCTCGGCTCGGTAAGTTCTCCCGGCCTTCAGCGGCCCAAGCTGCCTTCAGCATGGCTGCCCCTAGTTACGGGCCTGGAGCTGGCTCACCTGGCGTCCCTTCGCCAGAGGGCTCTCTCTGCGACGTAGGCAGGATTTCCCTGAGTTCACGGGAGCCAGTGAATCCAGTTAAGACGCTCGTCGGTCAGACACGCCTGGAGAAGGCTCCCTTAAGCGCCACCAGGGCCTGCCACCGGGAGCCCGGCCCCCAGCTACAGGCTTTGCGCAGGCTGGGGGGTCGAACTCTTTCTAGCCTCCAGGAACGCGTGGGATCCGGCTCAGGGTCACCACGTGGGGGCTACAGGAGTGGCAAGGTGTTCCTGGAACCAGCCCCCAAAGACTGCTCCCCGCATGGGCCCTAACCCAGCCCCAAACTGGCCTGAGTGACACTCCCAGCCTGCCTTCTCCCCTCAAACCTATTTGGATGGAATTCAAGACATCCTCGGCCGACTGGAGACAGGCTCTCGCCAGACCCCAAGCCCCAGGACTACCTCAGCCCGAGACCCAAACTGCCTGGTATCCTTACTCACCCATCGCGGCTCCGCTCGCTCCTACTTGGCGGCGGCAGCTTCGGCGGCAGCTTCAGCAGACAATATGGCGGATCTGCAGGACGGCGGCCCGAAATGGACAAACTACTTAACATTCAATCCCGGGGAGAAACGCGCTTTTTGCCCCACCGCCTAGATTACCCAGAGAAGCGCATTTAAAGAGACCGCAGCTAAGAAAGACAGGGAATAGGGATGGAATATGAAGAGTGGGTGGAGAAAAACTGGAAGGGATACCTACTAAAGAAAGGTATGCGTGCTTAGGATTTCTCGACTTTATCTGCTACTATTTCCTCTTTGGAGTGAAGTCTCCCCTAGAAACTTTTTCTTTCAGAAAAGTATTCCTTCTTTTTGTAGTTACAGCCATGCCTAGACTCTGAGCTGAATATGAGTAAGGAATCCTCTGGAAAGGGGAAGTGACTTGCTCGAGAATATAGAGATTAGAAAATGAAGAAGTCAAGAGTAAAATCGATTACAATGTTAATGGAGAAAAGAAGTAGGAAAATGAGACTGGAGTAGTGCTTTATAGTTGACAGGGTTATTTCATTTATCCTCACAGGAAGCTCTCTGAGGGCAGAGAGGTCGATTCTATATTGTTCATCACTGCATCTCCAGCACCTAGCACACACTATATGGTACATGGTATGTACTCCATAAATAATTGTTGAATGAATACACAAACTAATGAACAAACATATGAGTTAACACAAAATAAGTGATATTATCTCCCTTTTTAGAGATGAGGAAATTGAGGCTCTGAGTGTTCATGTGCCTTTGAATCATGGAATTAATGGCTGGTACACATTAGATCTCCCTTTTTGCATAATGGCATGCCAGTCCTCCCGTCCCCCACCTCAACACACAGAGGAAGGCTATGTCTTCAAGTCACCAGTCCCAAGAGAGAACTTTCTTTTGGAAGCCCAGGTCCTGCCACAACAAATTGCCATCTCTAGTTGTGTACCTGGCCCATGAAGGGAAACAACTCTAAAAGCCAACTCTAGGGTCAGGAAAGGAAGCGTTGTCTTTCTTTTCCTACTGCCTCGGCTCAAGGTCAGACCTCTTCATTCTTTGTTTGTCTATTTTACCTGTCTCCTCACTCGTCTCCTGCCTCCAGTTTCTCCCACTGGCACCCACTATCTCTTTAAAAGCAGAGACCGTATCATATCACTCCTCTATTTAGTGACTTCCTACTCTGTCTTAATGCCCAAACATTTCAATCTGAAAGTTAGACTGGTCCTTACTGGCTTCTTGGGCTACTATTCCCCACCAGATAACCCAGATTCCATCCATATCTAGGGAAACTTTTCCCCAAATACCCTCCTATCTTCTTTTGTGTCTTTGCATATGATCTTCTATCTGCTTGGAATGCGGTGCCCTCCCTTCCCCCTTGACCATGAGGTGAACTACTCATGTTCAAGACCCAATTCAATTCTCACCTCCTTGAAAGACTGTCCAGACTAATCTGTCCTCTCTGCTCCCCGGTGCCCTGGACACACATTTTCCTCAGCACTTGGCACCCTAAGTTGCTCACAAGGTGTCTCTTTCTCCTGGTTGTCTTTTGGAAGGGACAGTATCTTCCTCATCTTTGTCTCTGTCCCAGTGCCTGGCACAATGCCTGCCTCAACAGAGGCACCAAAAACATTTGCTGCAGTGTCTGTCTCCTGTACACCACCATGGGAGCATCTGCGTGACTTGTGGCCAAACAAGTGCTCAGGGAATACAGGCAGAGACTAGAACAGAGTGTCTAACTATATATATAACTGTGTCTCCTCTCCTGCCAACCCCTGAACCCTCCAACCTATGCTCCATAGGAGCCGGTGGCCTTCCAAACAGCTTTGTTTCCATTCTAGCCCTTGGCCTTGCTCACACACTCTCCCTAGCCCAGAACCATTGGTCCTCCCTGATCCAGCCCCTGCAGACCTTTCCAGCTCCAGCCCACCTCATCTTTCCTGCACCAGGAAAGATTCTGTTTACCATCCTTAAGTACACCAGAATACTCCAAATCTCTGTGCTATTTCCCATGCTCTTTATTTTCTCTGCTTGAAGCACCTTACCTCCACTTGTCCACCTAGGAAGCGGCTGATACAACTCAGACTATTCCCTCCTCCAAGAAGTCCCGAGAGCATTCAACATTCTCTCCTGTGCTGTTCTGGACCTTGTAACTGTTATACCCATCCCAGCATAGTCTTGGCATCTTCACCATCTACCACGGCATCTGGCACAGAGCAGGGTCTCAGTGACTGCCTGCTGGGAATCAGGACATCACATTCCGCTAGGATAGTAATGTCATCTTTCAGACGGTTTTGGGGCCCAGCTCTACCACTTCCTAGCCTTGTTACCTTGGGCAAGTCACTATAGCTCCCTGAGCTCGTGTTTTTCACCTACAGGAGTGACAGCACCTAGGGTTGTCATAAAAGGTGGATCAAGGCAAGGCCTGTAATACACATAGAGCAGCCTCTGGTTCAATGAGCATTCAGCTAGCTCACTGCTGCATGACCTCCGGTGTCTCCTCAGCTCTTCTCTGCTGGAGAAGGCAGAGCTTGCAGGGGCCCCAGAAGCCACACATATGGCTTCCTGGCCCAGAACCCCACACCTCTGCTCTTTGCTTGACAGGCAAGAAGAGGAGAAAGAAATATAGGACACAGGCTTATTGGGAGTATAAAAATAGGACTTTTTTTTCCTCATAATCACATCAATTATCAAAGAAAGAAACAGTATGTAACAAAAATACAAAGCTCTGGTGGATTTTTTTGTCTGTTTTTGTTTGTTTGTTTGTTTTGCCCCTCACCCATCCCTCCCCAACAGCCTCTTCCCAGGGAGCCCCTGGCTGAAGGCTGGATGCTGTCCCTGGGGTCGCCCTGGGGCTCAGGAGAACCGGTGGTCTAGGTCCCTCTGGGGGTTGGCCGAGTACGAGTAGGCTTTGCCCAATACCAGGCGGTCCCGGAGCAGCTTGAAGAAGGCGTAGTAGTTGCTGAAGAGGATGAGCGCCAGTGAGATGGTCTGGTGCCACTTTTCAGAGGACATTAAGGAGTAGAGCTGGTAGACGATGACAGCGCCCTCCAGCAGCAGAAGGATGTTGAGAATCCGCAGGGGTTTGCTGAAAAAGAACTGCCCAGGAAAGAGTAGGCATGGACTGGAAAGTATGTTTCAGAAACCTGCCTCATGGATGGGGGTACTGGGTAGGCCAGTAAAGGGCACAAGCTCTCGGGGTCCCATGGAGACTTGGGTGGGGAGGAAGACTTCACAGGGTTGGGCATGGACCTTGCCACCTCTCTGCTTTTGTTTGTGGGGTTCCTTCTGCCAAGGCTACTGCTTCCCACATAAGTTGTTTAAGATCCTGAACAACTTCTACCTACTCCAGGAAGCTTTTCTTGAGAGGTCTTGCTTGTCCTCTCAAATTTTCTTCTAGTCGAAAATCAACACCTTTTTCTACGCGATCCTCCCAGGTACAGTCAGGCCTGAACAAAGTAGAATCTTAAGACTTTAAAAAGTTACTGTAGACTCTGCAGCCCGAGTCACCCACTGCTTTATGTGCAGCATCCCCAGCTGGGCCAGAAGCTTCCAGGGGACGTGGAGACACTTCACTCTTACCTGGTGTTTACAGGGCAAGGCAGAGTGTAGAGACTAAGAAAAATGTTCTGATCAGTTTAAAAGAATGATCAATGTCCAGGGATCCTGATTCTGCAGGGGCCAAGGTACTTAAACCTCAAGAGCCATTTATAGGATAGGAGAAGTGGTGGGAAATGGAGAGTCCAAGAGACCAGCACCCCAGGCTCAGCTCTGTACCTGACAGGCTGCAGGCCTTTGGGCAAGTCCCTTCCCTGTCTAGACCTCAGGTCTCTCTACTGGGAAATGAAGAGATCAGCCCAGATCAGTGATTTCTCAGACTGTGCTCCTCACAGCCCCGGGCTCCTAGGAGGTCTTTTAGGGGCTGTTGCAGGGGTGAGCAGGAAGTGAAGGGAGTTCCAACCCTTTTCAACAGAGCAGCGCCAATAAGGTCCTCTATACTGAACTTTAGTTTATGATTTTGACAGTAAAATAAGTAAATAAAATGGAGATGACCAGCCTAGATGATTTTGAGCAGCTCTTTCCATAGTTTCTGAGCCATTATCACTAGTTCCAAAGTTTCCCAGTAAGGTACCCTTGGAACAATTTAAACTATCTAAGCAAATTTCAGTACCTGAAAACTGGGATTGCCCTGGTATCCCTCTCACATACAAGGTTCTGGTGAAGACAGAATGGGAAGGTATGTGGGAAGTGCCTACCACAGTGCACACAATAAGGAATGATGGTTGGGGGAGGGTATAGCTCAGTGGTAGAGCATGTGGTTAGCACGTACAAGGTCCTGGGTTCAATCCCCAGTACCTCCATTAAAAAATAAATAAATAAACAAACCTAATTACCCTACTCCTCCAAAAAAACACAAAAAACAAAATTAAAAAAAGAATAAAACCACCTAAAATTGAACAATGCAAGAAATCTAACCATTTCAAAAAAAAATGGTTGTAAATATTTTTACCACCAAGAACCCCTCCTTTTATTATATCATCTTTTCCACCCACCCCCTCCAATGTTTTGGAAGATCTGTTACACAGTGAGCTGCCATGACGAAGTGATCGTCTGCATGGCTGTCCTTGGGCTGCACGTGTGCATTGTCTTCTTTTGGATCTGGGAAATACTGAAAATAGCCTTCCCTGGCTAAGACGTCACCTTCCTGCTCAGCTGATCAGGCCCCACCCCTCCTTCCCAGGGGAGGAGACTCACGTGGAACCGGAAGTGGGAGACATCAGAGGGGATGGCCACATTGTAGTGGCCCACTGCTTTGTAGACGTTCTTGCTGTGCTTCACCAGCACGCCCTGTGGCCACATGCATTCTTCAGTCCACCTGGAGGCACAGCCCAACAGAACCCCTTATGCCCAGCTCCCCCACATAAGGGGATACTAGAAGACTGGGCACAGGGTCACCACCAGGGATCTATTCCCATTTCTATCACTTAGATACAGTGACTTTCCTTTTCTGGGTCTCAGTTGCCTCTGCTGTGAAATGGGATAAGAATCAGAAGAAATTCCTGCACTGGGAGTCAGAAGGTTTAGGACCTACATTCACGTCCCTGAGGGATTCCAAGAAAACCTTTATGCCTCCCTGGGGTCATTTTCTTCATCAGCCTCCAATCAGTCTCACCTCGAGCGTCCAAGCAGTCTACCATACAGCGGCCTGAGGGGTCTTTGTAAAACACCACACTGAGCCTAACTATTCTCTCCTCAAAACCCTTTAAGGCTTTCCAGTGCCCTTGGAGTCAAGTCCCCAAGAATTTGGCATGGCCTCAGAAGCCCTGTGTGGCCTTCTAGAACTTCCACTGCAATTTCCTGCTCCAGAACTGTCTCTAGTTCCTCCAGCACACCTTACTGCTCTTATCTCTGCATAGGTTGTTCCTTCCAGTTGGACTGCCCTTCCTGATGCCTTTCCTTCCTCGGCTCTTTGTCATCTTTCAAAATCCAAGATCCTCCACAAAGCCTTTCTCAAACTCCCCATGGAGTTCAGCATCCTTTGAATGCTTCCTGAATCTCCTGCTACTGGTCCATTTTCCCCAGTGTTTTGTCACTTATTCACTTCCCTGTACCCCTCACTAATCTGGGAGCGCTGGAGGGAAGGGATGGCATCCAATTCATTTTGGTGTCCTCGGAACACACCACAAGGCCTGGCACAGGGGGGCCCCAGTGAGCCTGTGAATAAGATTATGGGACCTGTGACATTTCTTCCAATGTTCTGCAAGATCTCCCAAAAACTCCCAAAGGTCCTGGGCCAGTGAATTGAGACCCACTGTCTGCAGGAACCTCAATCCCATGCTCCTGCCCTGTTGATTCCTTCATTTAAAAGACAGTTACCAGATCATATGCAACAACACAGATGAACCTCACAGATAATGTGCTAAATGAAAGAAGCTGGACCCTAATATCTACTGTATGATTTTAATTTACACGAAGTTGTTGGAATAGGCAAAACTAATGTAGGGTGAAAGGAACTGAAAGGATGCTTGCTTGGGGAGGGGGGGTCATTGGGAAGGGCCGTGAGGAAATTTCCTGAGGAGCTGGAAATGTTCTGTACCTTGATGGGGGATGGGTTATATGCATGCTATGCCTTTATCAAAGAATTGTACACTTTTAAGATTTGTGCATTTCACAGTATGTAAATTTTACCTGCAAAAAAACACTACATACACAAAAAACACCCAAGAAAAATTTGCTGTGGACCTATCATAAGCCAGGCATTTTGCCAGGAGTGAGGAGGAGATGGCTGTTTGACAGCCAAGGACCCTGACCTCCAGGAGCTTTAGTCCTGGAATGACAGGCGAGTAACTAAGCAAACAGCAGAAAGTTTTAGGTGCAATGATCATGGTATGGCAGGGTTGTGGGAGCACAGGGCAGGGACACTGAACCTATCCTGGGTGGTCAGGAAAGTGTTCCTGGAGGAAGCAAAGTGCTAAAGGATGAATAGAAATTAAACCAGAATAGAAAGCTGGAACGGGCATTCCAGGCAAAACATGCATCGTATGTAAAAGCCTGGATATAAAAGTACAAACAGAATTTGAGAGTCTGAACAGGCTGGGTCTGGTTAGAGCAGAGTATGAGCTGGGGCATGGGAAGAGATGAGGCAGAAAAGGCTGGCAGGACCCAGTTCATCATGGGAAGCCATGTGAAGGAGCCTGGATCTTATCTGTGGACCACGGTGAACCATGGACAGGTTTATCTTCATATTCATTCATGTACTATCTTTCTACTCCCTCTTCTTCTCAGAGCCCAAGGCTAAGCCAAGCCCCACTTCGGACCATTCGGCAATACCTAGCCCCTTTCTGGACCACCCGGACAGAGCCTGAGTAGGACCCTGACTGGCAGAGAGGGCCAACACCAGGAGGTTTGGCCTCTGTGGCCACCCTTTGCCTCTCTGCGGGCCTACCTCTACAAACCTGTCCTAGGGGCCTCTCCTCTGCCAGGCCTTGTGCTGGGCCCAAGACTCAGATGTGATTCAGAGGCGATCCCAGCCTTGAGGACCTTCTGGTCGACTGGGGGAATACAGGCAGGAAAATCAAATCCTGTGACGAAGAGCTACAGAAACACGAGGCACCAGGAAGGCTGGGCCCGGCTGAGGAGAAGACAGCATCTCAGGCCTCTGAGCAGGGTGACTTCGGCCTCTGCTTGGGGTGCAGTGCCATCCCACAGTTGGGCCTCCTTTGCCCCACTCATCTCACTCTTCATTTACGTGGCTGTTACCCCTACTAGACTGCAAACTCAGGGGTCTTGTCTCAGCCATTTCCTCCCTCTGGTTTTTCTTCCCTGGCCAGGGTTTGTCATCGTTACCAGACTGATATTTCTAAGGTGCACCTTGGAAGAGGTTCCTCCACTGTTCAGAACCCTCCATAGCTCCCCTCTGCCTGTAGGTCAAAGTCCAATACACAGCACCAGGACTGGAGTAAATCAGGCAGGAGTAAATATCTGCTGAAAGAATGGAGGACTCAACGGCTGAATGGATGAGTGAGCAGAAGGAGGGAAGAAATGAATGAATGTGTGAGCAAATCAGTCAATGAGTAAATAAGTCAGTGAATGAGAAAGTCAACGAGTCTATGAATTTACTGCCTGCAACCCCCTCCATCTCCAGGACACTGCAAGTTACCCAAGGACAGGGGATACGTCCTTCTCAAGCCCTGCCATCCTCCACTCTGGCCATGAGGCCTAGCGCACGAGACAGGCTCAAGAACTCTTTGCAGGCTGAGTGAATGAGTGATGAGCAGGGAGGCAAGTGACTGCAGACACTGACCGGGGGGCTGGGGTTAAGCCGAGAAGGGCGGGATGACTCACGGGTGCTGCAGCACGTTGGAGCACAGCGCTGGGTCCACCTTCTGCCAGCAGCCCAGATGGGCCGCTGCCTTGTGCAGCAGGTCGCAGTAGCTGGCAGGCAGCAGGTGCTGCATGAGGATCACCGAGGTGCTGATGGACACCAGCAGGAAGAGCTCGCAGGACCAGCGCTTGTCATAGTAATGTGTGTTCTGGGGGCAGTGGGAGGTGGGTAAGGCCTGAGCCACCCCTAAGAGTCTCACTCCCTCCCCCTTCCCTGATTCTCTCTGCCTTGGAGACCAGGACAGCCCCAGAAAGACCTCGGGGTAGCCTGACGTCAAGGATCAAACACCTAACAAAGAAGGCTCCATGATGGGTTTAAATCCTGTGCCCAATACTCAGTTTTCTACAAAGAAAAACTGCTCCCCCCTGCCTATTACGCTGAGCCAGAGGACAGACTCTGCGGTCCAAAAGAAATTAGCTCACATCTTGGCTCTGCAGCTTATTCGCCAGGAGACCTTGGGCAAGTCGCTTCACTTGCTTGTGCTCCAGTTCCCTCATCTGTCACATGAGAAGAGTAACCACCTCTGATGGGCATGAGGAGGATTAGAATAATCATGAAAGTTCCAGCACACTGTTGGTGCCTAACAGACAGGAAGTCCTCTCAATCCCAGACCATTCAGTGCAGCCCATCCTCAGAGAAATGTGTCAATCCTCCTGTCAGCTGGGGGAGGTTCCTTCCCAGATGGCCACGCAAGCCAGAGAGAGAGCACAGGCTTTTGGAGCCACTCGGCTCTGGATGAATCCTGGCTCTCACACTTAATGATAAAGCAGGATGTTGTGACGTGCCTGTGCCAAAACAGCCATGCTGAAATACAAAGTCACCGCTTTTTGTTATCCAGTATTATGAACAACAATGCCATGGCCCCCTCACTGGCTGGGTGACCTTGTGCAGGACATGTCCGTGCACCAAGCCTAGTTTTTTCCACTTGAAAATGGAGGCAGTAGTCACTCTGGCCCTCAGGACAACAGATGGGAATCTCCTCAAAAGCAGCAGTTACTTATGTAAGCAGGAGGGCTCCTGTGGGCTGGGCAGCAGGGTGAGGCCTCGGGCAGGTCCCTTCCCTCCCAGGGTTAAGCTACTCACCTTCACAAACCACACAGGCACAAAGGCCACGTAATAGGCACTCAGCATGGAGCTGACCAGCACCTCCTTCATACGCCAGTTGAAGTCCATCTTGAGGAACTCCACCTCGCTGCGGATGAGGCTGGGCGACAGGCAGCAGGCATGGGTGGGCATGGCTTCCGGGCCATACAGCTGCCGCGTGTGCTGCTTCCACGTCTCCCGCAGCGTCAGCAGGTAGTCCCGGCTCCGTGCCAGGCCACTGACCGCCTCCCGGGGACCCATGGAGGCCATGTGGCTGAAGAGGTTTGTCTTGCGGAGGTCACAGTTCAGCTGCAGGAACGGAATGTACATCCCAAACCTGCTGGGGAAGAGAGTGGTGAGAACAGGCCTGCTCACGGGCCAGGATGCCAACCCTCAGCCACGGAGAGAATCTTCTTTCCCGCCTGGGCTTTAGCTCTCCTGGCTGCTAAGAGGGGAGACTTCACCATCCAGCCTCCCAGCCAATGGTCAGTCATTCAATACATGTTAGCACTGAGTTCGGGCCAAGCATGGTACCGAGCAGCAGAGGCACAGTAGGAAGCAGATGAGTCCCTGCCCTCACGGTCTGTTGCTGACCAGCAGTCATCATAACAGCCCACATTCACTGGGCATAACCTGTGTTCCATGCTAAGTGCTTTACACGCATTCTCTTCTTATGTTTCTCCTAACTCTGCATTAGGTACTGTTATTTTGTGCCCTTTTCAGCTGAGGAAGCTGTGGCTCAGAGAGGTGAAGCAGATTCTGAAACGTCACACAGTTAGTAAGGAAGTAATAGAGTTGGGATTCAAATCCAGGACTGTCTCATACCAGGGATCAAGACAGACACTCAACATATACTATGAGTAATTCGTTAATTAAAAATGTGTATGCTATCACAAAAAAGACAAAGCAGTTGTCATGGGTATATATATATTAGAGGCAGTTCTTTAGTTTGCAAAGGAGGACAGTTCAGGAATAATGTTTACTGTGTGTTTATTATGTGCCAGGCACTGAAATGGGCCCTTGAACAGTAGAACCTCCTCCACTGACCCTTTAGGTTACACCTGGAGCTAATTAGTCAAGGGATGGAATGTGTGGCTGGTATTGTTTGAGGAGAAAACTAGGCAGACCCATAGCCCAGAAGAGTAGATAATTAAAGTGGATAAGTGTCCAGCACAGTACATGGAACTTCATAATAGGTGCTCTTTATAGGCATTCCTTGTTTTTAGCTTGGGGCCTCTCAATTTCCCCAGGTCTTCAGACACAGCCCCTGAAGGGTCCCTGGGCTGCTGCCAGGAGCTAGAGCCAATGAGAAGGCTATGTTTCTTTATCCACAGTAATTTTCCCTTCCTTTATTCTGAACTTCCAAGAAGGGATATATGAATGATCTTGGGCATTTAACCTTTTTGGGTTTTTGCTTTCTGGTCTATAAAATGGGAATGCTACTACTCTCCCTGGGATAGGGTTAAAGGAAGATAACTTAAAAGAATTCTGGTCAGGAGCATAACCTCTGGGGTTAAATGAGCCAGGATTAAAATCCCAGCTCTGTCACTTCCTAGCGTTGTGATGTAAGGCAAGTTATATAATCTCTATGAGCCTCAGTTTCCTTAACCTGTCTTGAGTTGCATAGCATGTATTGATTCTCTATACTCAGCCAGGCATTATGCTAGTGTTTTTTGTTTTTGTTTTTGTTTTTTATAAATACTCTCTTTTAATCTTTGCAACAATGCCCAGCATGGTTTCAGAGTAGAAGATCAACACAATTTTAGAAATTGTATTGTTTAGAAAAGAAAGAAGCCAGGATTCTGTGGGACAGAAAAGAACACTAAAATGGGATTCCCAAAACACTCTTCAGGATACTCGGTGGGAATGAGGGGGTGGGGCACCTATATGAACATACAATGGCTTCAGACCCAAATTAAGGACAAATAGTTAAGAATCTCCCTGGTTTTGCCTCTAAGGACTTCAGATACAATTAAATTATTTGGTAACACCAAGTGGCTGCTCTGACAGGTCACACGTTAGAAACAGCTTCACAGGCAAGATGGCAGATTCCCTTTCAGCCTCTCCACCCAAGACATGACAGTACCAAAGTAGAAAATAAATAGACAAAAGTAGAAAATAAATCCGTGTGAGCAAAAACAATGGGGGTTATTAGCACGTAAGTGATTTTGACAAATTCAGACAGCAGATGGAAACATGCTGACAGATGAGGAAGGAAGTCATCATTTAGAGCAGTGCTGTCCAGCAGAAACAGAGAGCCACAAATGTAATTCAAAATTTTCTAGTAGCCACATTTAAAAAATTAATTTTAATATTCTATTTTACTTAACCCAGTATATGCAAAATATTATTTCAACATACAATATTTATGAATGAGATGTGTTACTTACTTTTTTTCTACTAAGTCTTAGAATCTGGTGTACATCTTACACTAAAAGCACATTTCAATTCAAATTAGTTTATTTCAAATGTTTAATGACAACAGGCAGTTAAAAGTTACCAAACTGGACAGTGTTGGCCTAGAATGTGCCATGAGAGGGCTGTACTGGGGGTGGGAGCTTATCTGCCCAGAGTGACCCAAGAGAGGCTGGCTTGAAGTGGGCACGTTTGATAGAGGGTAGAAGTGAGAAGCAGGGCTGAACAAATGGGATTAAACAAAGATCTGTATTTATTTATGAGTCACCCCCTTTATTCTCCTACATAACATGACACAGCCTGCCCTGAGGGAGTCTACTCTAAAGAAATTGAATATATAGCTATAAAATTCATCAAATTGTACATCTGAAATATGTGTAGTTTACTGTACAGGAATCATACTATAATAAAGGTATTTAAAAAAAGAAAGAAACTGAATAAACTGAGGAAAACTGAGGTCTCTAATGGGGGCATCCTAGAATAATACCCACCCCTCCCCTTTCTGGTCTCTGGGGGCGCACAGCCTGACAACTAGCACCTCATTCATTTATCCTAAAGCAAAGTCTACCAGTGTGCCCTGCTCATGTACTTAGAATTCCCAGTCAAACCTTCCACTCATGTACACAATAGCAGAGGGAGAGAAAATGTACTTCAAGTCACTCAGGCCTTCACTCTTAAATGTAAACAGACAACCAAAGAAACTAACTACACTTATAAAACTAGCAGGATGAAACAGAAAAATTGACCCCAGTGGAATGACAAAATTGAGGGAACATAAGAGATTTTTAAAACAAGAATAGAATGTTATGAGAAAAGAATAATCAGAAAATAAGAAAGAGCCCTTACAGATGAAAAATATGATTGCTGAAAAAAACTCAATAAAAAACCTGGAAGATAAAGTTGAGATAATCACCCTAAAGGCAAAGAAAAAAGAGAGAGGAGAGAAAGAAAGAGTGAGAGAGAAAGAAAGAGGGGAGGGAGGGAGTGAGAAGGAGAAAGGGAGACAGATGAAAATTATGAGTGAAAATACAAGAGAAACAGATGACCAATCTATGAGGTCTACCATCTGATGAGAAGTCCCAAAGAGACCAGGAAAAATGGAGGGGAAGATATTACCAAAGAAATAATAGAAGAAACTTTCCCTGACCTGCAGAAATACCCAAATCTCCAGGTTAAAAAGGTCCTAGAGTACTGATAAGATGAATGACAAAAGTTCCACATCAGACACATCCTGTGAAATTTCAAACAATCAAAAAATAAATAGAATACCCCTAAGAGCTTTCAAAAGGAAAAAACAAGTCATCTACAAAGTAACTGGAATCAAACTAGTATCAGACTTCTCATTAGAAACACTGGATGCCAGAGACAATAGAGCACTATCTTCAAAATTCTGACAGAATATGAATCTGAACTTAGAAATCTACATTTGGCCAAACCATCAATCAAGTATGAGGGCAGAATAAAGACATTTTTAGATATGCAAGGACTCAGAATATATATACTTCCCACATACCACTTGTTAAGGAAATTACCTGATAATGCACTCCAGCAAAATAAGGAAGAAAACCAAGAAAGAGGAAGACATGGGATCCAGAAAACAGAGGATCCAACCCAGGAGGGCAGCGAAGGGAAGTCCCAGGCTGAGAGCTGTACAGCAGGCCTGAAGAGCAACCACTCCAGACTGGAGCAGGAGGATGGAGGGCTCCAGGAGGGATGTCTTTGGGGGAAAAATGGACTCCAGGCAACAGGTAGCATGATTGAGAAGCTGGATAAACTTGAAGATATGTTGAAGGCCCATCATTCTTTTTTTTTTTTTAACATTTTTTATTGATTTATAATCATTTTACAATGTTGTGTCAAATTCCAGTGTTCAGCACAATTTTTCAGTCATTCATGGACATATACACACTCATTGTCACATTTTTTTTCTCTGTGATTTATCATAACCATCATTCTTTTGTCAACAAGAAAAAAGAAAGGCAATTAGAAACTCTGAGAAAAATAAAAAGCTATATAAGAGAGTTACAATCTAAATATGAAGCAAACTAAAATGTGGCATGATTTTAAACAACTGATGGAATGTAAGAAAAGAGAAATCATTTAACCTGGACACTAGGAACATACTTTTTTTAAGAGACCCAAGATTATAACTCAGTAACTACAGAGAAGGGATGTCATCTATGCACACTACTTGGTCCTGTAGTGAATGTTTTCATACTCATGATAATATCAAGGACACTTACTGGTTTTTAATTTTTAGAACTAGCCTTAGACAAAGAACAGAAGACTTCAATTTGGCTATTTAGGATAACGTGAATGTCAAGTATGACAATATTAAAGTAAGAGCACAGTTGCCAGGAAGTGAGAAGAATAATTTTGAAAAGTGGATGGGTAGGGCTCCTAATATTATGGTTTTATATAAAAATGATAAGAACTGACTATTGTTGATGGAATAAAAAAATACAGTCATATTCATATTATTGAAAAAGATAACCAACAGAAAACTAAAAATAATAACAGTTATCAAATATTAAGAACAGTATGGATGGAAGGTGAACTAAATCTTCATCTGTCATTAAGGGTACTGTACCTGTGTATGTGTATGTATGTATGTGGTATGCTTGTATATGAACAGGACATTCATTTCCAGGATATATAAGAAACCAGAAACAGTGGTGGTTACCTCTTGGAAGGGAAACTAGGTAGCTGGGAGACAAGAGTGAAGGGGAGACTTTCATGCTACATTCTTTAATACATTTTTCAAGTTTAATGATATAAACCTATTACCCAAATATAAAATCAATCAATAACATTTTTAAAGGAATAAACAAAAGGACAGGATACTAGAATTATGGAGTTTACTCAAAAAAAAACCACTGAAAACTAGAAACAGTGAAAGAGGTTGCTTTTGAAAAATGGGACTAAGCTTTTCATCATAAGCTTTTTAGCTCTACTAGATTTGATTTTTTCTGATATATTTATCTTACATTAATAAAAAGTTTTAAATTAAACAATATAAAATAAAGCAAAATAAGAACACTGGGTGATGTCTGAGTAGTAACCAGAAAGTGTCAAATAAAGGCAACTGTTAACATTTCTAACCAGTACAATCTTAAAGGGCTATTTGTTAACATTTATTAAAAATGTAAAACGTATCTTTTGGTACAGTAATTCTAATCTGTTTTACAGAAATATTGGACAAGTGTGCAAAGATGTATGCAAAAGAATGTTCTCTGCCTCATTGCTTCCAACAGGGAAAAACTAGAACAACTCAAAAGTCCACCAATAGAAGACAAGCACACTGCGAAAGTCCATACAATGGAAATATTATGAGGCCATTAAAAAAAAATGAGGCAGACCCATAAATATGGCCATGGAAAAATATCCAAGTTGTATGACTATGTGAAAAATTTTGGAGGGACATGCTGCAAATAAAGGTTTTCTGGAGGACTAAGATGGTGTGGGAATTTCATTTCTATGCTAAAAGCTTTTGTAAGCTTAGTATTTTTACATGATGCAGTATCACTCATAATTAACAACTAGTTCTAACCAAATCAGGTGTGATAGGGCTCCTCCCATGACAGTGCCCTTTGGGTCATGCAGGGTAGAGACAGAGGAGTGTCCAGCTCTGAAGCTTCCCAGGGAACAGAACTGGCCCAGCCTGAAGAAGTTCATGACCCAGAAAGCCTAAGGGTTGGGAGATGCCTGTTAATGCCTAGGCAGCCAGGAGCCTGCCCCAGGAACAGCCAGAGTGCATATCTTGCCAAAGCTCTCCCCAGTTCTAGGCCAGAAAGGGGCAGGCTTGGGAGCTTCCCAGACACTCTCTCTCCATCCTCAACAGTCTCGGTTGTGGCAAGATGAGGGTGGTGAGTGAGCAAAGCAGACACACAGACAGACATGCATGCGCACACACTCACACAGAAACATGCACACACGCAGGTGCTAGCACGCACACAAAGCCGGGGCAGGCCCCGAGAATTACATAAACACTAAGATACACAAAGAGACAGAGAAAGAACCAGAGAGAGAGGAAAGGAAGAGAGAGGGAGACAAAGCCCGTGCATCCCTGTTAGGAACTGTGGGATATACACTCAGATCTGAATCCCATTCTGACCTCCCCGTCGGTGGCACCTTGGGGAGATTACGCCTGCCATCTCAGTTTCTGCTCCTGCAAAAGGCTAATCACCCTGATCTCAGGACAATGCTGTCAGACAATGTGAGAGGGGTACTGCTGCTGCCTGCCAGTGAGTCTTCTGGGTATGGGGGCCTGGTGACCCAGCCACACTCAGGGCAGAGGTCAGGAGCAGGTACTAGGCAGTGAGGGGTGAAGTGAGGGGTACTCACGGATAGCAGAGGAACAGGAGGTTCAGGAAGGAGTAGGTCCTGAAGAGGTGGATGAGGGAGCGGCACAGACTCCAGCCTGTTGCCGTGAGAACGGTGAAGCGGGTGAGGAACAGCAGGATGGAGCGAAAGAGGGAGACCTTCCCCCTCTGAGAAGCCTGGGTCAGGGCGAGATAGGACGGGATGGGGCCTTGGATGGAGGCCACGAGGGCTGTGACCAAATCCCACCCAGCATGGCCTATGATCCCACCCGGGGGAAGCGTGGGGCAGCAGGCTGGGCAGAACCTGACAAGGCGAATCCTTTCCCTCGATGCCCAGTAAACTCCAAGAGCTGATGGGATGTGAGTAATGTTCTTTAACCAAGTTTGAAGGGAGCCCCAAGGAAATGCCTCAGGGTTGAAGGGCTGGGCCTGTCTCCTTGGCACCCCACCCCTGGGGAAAGGGGAGCCCCAAAGTCCCCGGGCCAGCCTCTGGGACCCAATCACCTCCTTCACGATGGACCCAATGAAGCGGCGGCCCAGAACAATGGTGGTCACCATCAGCAAGTTGAAGTCGATCAGGTGGAAATTCTGTCAGGGGGCAGAGGCTGGGGGTCACGTGGGCCCCCTGCCCATGTACAGCCTTTTTGCATCCCCACCTCCCCCTGCCCAGTCCTTTTCATAGGGACTGTCCCCACTCTCTGACCTTCATAGGCCTCCAGCTGAGTCAGACCAGGAAAATACCTAGAGGAGTAGAACAGGACCCAGAGGAGGGAGGTGGGACAGTCCCTGGAGATAAGAGAGTGGTGTGTGAGCCCTCTTGCTCTGATCACCCATGCCCCTGTCCCTGCACCTCTCCTGCACAGAGCTCTTTTCACTCCTTGAAACGATCACATATGCCTGTGGCTCACCTCCCCCACAGGACTTAAGACTCTGCACTCCTTTAGACAAAATCTGTGTCAGATTCATTTCTGCCACCCTTATGATGAATAGCATGGTGCTGAGCACATTAGGGGTGAGTGTTCAGGAATCATCAGTTTCCTGTTCCTTTCTATGCCTCCCATGCCCAGCACGAGGCCAAGTATACAGGGTACTTGGGAAGCTATGCTAAACTGAAGCCAAACGTCTCACACACACACACACACACACACACCCCACACACAGTGGATCCTGGTTAGGCACCTACCAGGGAGGTGTGGGAGGGTGGGTGGGAGGGCGGGTACCACCACACTGTCTTGTAGATGTTGATGTAGTGGACGAAGAGAGCTATGAGCTGGCAGAAGAAGAGCTGCAACTCAAACAGAATGCTGGCCTGGACTGGCAGCTCGGGGATCTTGCAGTGTTGGAGGGGCACGACTGTCTGCGTCGCCAGTGGGGGGCTGGAGAGGCCCGTTCCAGAACTGCTCCTGGAGTGGGGGAAGGAACAAACATGAGGAGCTGACCTGAGAACCCTACCAAGAAGGGCTTCTGGGGCAAAGTACTGCAGGGGAGGATCAGAAAAGCAGCTCAGGGAAAGGATGAAGTCCTCCTAATCCTGCCTGTGAGGTAAAGAAGCTGACAGAGCCCTTTCCTATCCCTAATCTTATTCAGGCTTGCCAACATTCCCCAGGAAGAAAAGGATTATTAGGTCCATTTTACAGATGAGGAAAAGGAAGCCCAGAGAGGAGAGATAACTTGTCCAAGTCACCAGCAAATCAGGGGCAGAACTGTAACTGGAATCCAAGCCTTTGGGCTTATTACACTATGTCCCATTTCATCTGTCCCAGTGACCAACCTCTGAGGCTTTCCTGCTGCTCCCTGCCCTTTAAGCCCCCATCTGGCATCCGGGGTATCACATCCTAGAGCCCAAGGTTTGGGCAGAGAGCTTTGTCCACACTTCCTGTGAGCCCACAGTGAGGGGCAACAGACAGAAAGTAATTTACCTGGTGCGGGAACGGACACTGGTGACAGATGCACTGGAAGTGTGGCCCCCACCAGAGCCCCCAGATGATCCTGGCTCACAGAGTGGATTTCGACAGTAGGATGTCCTGTTGGGACCTCTTCGTCCTCCTGTGGGGCTCAACATAAGATAGATCCTCAAGCTAGAGGGCATGTATCAAGGATGACAGTAATGACACTGGCTACCTGGTGTCTCATTTTATCACTCAGTCACAGAGACCCACAATCTGGCCCCTGTGTACCTCTTCAAACGCATCTCCTACCATTCTCTGCCTCACCCCCATGTTTCAGCCAGCCTGGCTTTTTGTCTCCTTGGGCAAACCAAGCTTGTTGCTACCTTTTGCACTTGCTGTACCTTCTGGAGGGCCCCTCCCTGATTGCCATTTTTGAAGTATCTGCCCTTATAACTATCTTATTTCTATTTTTTCCCACAATTCACTCTTCATCTTGTTCATTTGTTAACATATTTTTTGTCTATCTTTCCCACTAGAATGAAAGGCCAGTGAGGTCAGTATCTTGATCTTCTTTTTCATTGTTTATCCTCTCCCCCTACAGCAGTGTCCAGCATAAAGTAAGTGCCCAACAAAGTACATGTTGATGAGGGAGTGAACTCCACAAGGTAGGTTTTCCATAGATTAGGAAACTTGGTTTATATTGTGTCATAGGTAGTTTGGGGGCCTGGGTCCTGTGCTCTTAGCACTGGTGTACACTGCTCCATTCAGATACTAGAAGTCTCTGTAGGCTTACAACTCTGGGTGCCCTTGAAGTGTTTTCCTCTAGGATCCAAGAACCAGCTCAATGAGTATCCTGGGTTCTCAAGGTCAGGACTCAGGGCCTGAGCCCAGGATCAAGGATGTGGGCTCTGGGAGAATGCTGTGGCTGTGGACTCAAAACTTGGACCCACAACCTCTTTCTCTAAGCTTAGCAGTCTAGCCCACGCTCCCAGGCACCACCTTGCACAAAGGTCCTAAACACCACCCTAGTCCCAGTCAAAGTCAAAGCCTTGTTCATCTCTCCTCAGGGCAGCACAGCAGCCTCCACACACACATCCCTTGCTCTAGCTTCTCAGCCTGGAAGCTTTCCCCACACATCTCCAAAAAGTTCTTATCCAGGAACTCTTCCCCTAACTAGCCCTCAGCCCTGAAGCTCTGTTCACGCACCACTGTACCTGGCTTCGAAAACCCCACACAGGCATCCTCAGCCCAAATGCTCTGCCCACACCTACTCTCCTCTCTTTAGAAGTTCTGCTCCCACATAAAGCCCCTCAGCCCAGAAGCCCCGCCTACACACAACTGTCACCCCAGAAAACCCGCCCACAAGCCAATAAAAGCGCTCTGCCCAGAAGCCTGGCTCGAGTGGGCTCCCTTAGACTGGAAGGTCTCCTTCCCGCCCCACCTCCCCCAGTACAAAGCCGCTACAGTCCTGAAAGTTCGCCCGCGCACCAGGGCCTACAGCCCAGGAACTCCGCCCTTAGTACTAACGCCCCGTCCACCTCTAAGCCCCGCCCCACTCTAGTCCTCTGAGTGGGTCCTCACCAAAGCCCCCAGGTGCCTCTCCATTTTAAATGCCCCGCCCGCCGCTCCAACGTCCCGCCCCCACAACAGACGCCCCACCCGCAAGCGACAGGAGGGGGCGGGGTCCCTCTGTACCCATATCCCCTCCCCCCACCTCGCCGGGATCCTGTCCGCATGGGGGAGCAATTAGCAGCTCAGCCATCCTAACCCCCGAGCCCGCCCGTTCCCGGGCCGAGCCGGACCCGCGCCGCTCACCCATCTCCACCCCCCGGCGCTCTCCGCTTCGCCGCCGCGGCTCCTGCGGGCAATATGTCGGAGGCGACGGCGGCCGGGAGAGGACTAACCGCCGCAGCCCAGTCCCCGGGTATCAGCTGCGCGCTCCCGCCTCGCCGCCAAATTTGCATACAAGGCGGGCTAGAAACTGGGGGCGCGCTTCTTAAAGGGGCCGCCTGGACGTAGGCAGTGCCGCGCGCTCTTTGTCTCGCGTTCCCCCACGCCCTTCCTGCAGCTGCTGCTGATAAATCCAAGAGGAAGGAGAACCCACCTCCTGCTCTTCCCTTGCGTGCCATCTCCATGCATCTTTTCAGGGCCGAGGGAGGGGGCTGGAACCACCTCTCGTTTCCTGTATCCATGAGTGGCCGGCCCACCGGCGCCTCAAACCCGTCTCGTCTCAAAGTGGGTTTTCATCTTTTCCTTTGGCATTCTTGCTCTTTGGCGCACCCCAGTCAAAACCTGAGAGTCATTTCTCTCGACCCACACATCCAGTCTTCTACCTGGTCTTGCTGACCGTTAGTCCTAATTATTTCTCACATCTCACCCTACTCTTCTACCACCACCTTAGTTCAAATCCTGACTGCCAGTTCTAAGACCTGAAATCCTATTTTTTGCTCTTTACTGGTAATATTCACCTTATTGGGCCTTGGTGAGGATTAAATGAGCTAATGCATGTAGAACAGTCTGTTTTAATAAATGTTAGCCATCATTACTATTATGATGTACGGCAAGCACAACACAGAGGGAACACTCAGTAACTGAGCCCCTACAGGTAGCTTATTTCTTCCCTCATAAGACCTATCAGCTGTCTGAATCACTTGGTACCTTCATCACTTAGCACAGTGTTTGGCACGTGATAGACAACAATATTCAATTAATTAAATGATTTAGTAGATATTTAATTAGTAGATATTCACAGAACTTACAGTTAAGTGGGAGGAGATGGACATAAATAAAATTAGTAAATTCTGTAGTATGTTAGAAGGGAATGATTGCTGTGGAGGTAAACAGGAACAGGGGATGGGAGGTTGCAATTTTTAACAGGGTAGTCGTGGGCTTCACTGAGAAGGTAACTTTTGAACAGACACTTGAAGGAAACACTTCAGTGAGTCAGTCATGCAGATGTCTGGAGAAAGGGGGCATTCCAGGCAGAAGGAGAAAGTCAGTGGAAGGGCCCTCAGGTACGAGCATGCCTGGTGTGTTTAAGAAACAGCAAGAATGCTAGTGTGGCTTGGAATGGAATAGACATGAGAGTCGGACATGAGAAGGAATGGACCTGAAGTTTTTACTCTGAATGAGATGGGGAGCTACTGGAAGGTTTTGAACTTCCATTTTTTACAGAATCACTTTAGCTGTCCTGTGAGAATAGACTGTGGGGGTACAAGGGTGGAATCAGGGAGACCAGGGTGCTATGGCAATGATCTTTGCAAGAGATGTTAATGATTTGTACCAGACTGGGTTAGGTGATGAGACATAGTTGGATTCTGGATTGGAAGGTAAAGTCAACAAGATTTGTTGACAGATTGGGTAGGTGTATGGAAGAAAGAGAAGATCAGAATTACTCCCAGGTTTTTAGCCCAGGCAAATGGAAATACGGAATTTAATTCAACACATATATATCTATTAATATATAGATTTTACACCAAGTCAGGCCTTCTCTTCTTGGGAAAAAAGAGGCCCAGGGAGGGAGAATGCCCAGGTCACAAAACAGAATTGAAACCAGGGCTGAGATTTCTTTTTCAGGCCAAAGAAACTCTGGTTAGAAGAGCTGGTTCTGAACTCTTTAGAGTATCGAATTTGAAGTGTATCTTTTTAATTATTGGATCCCCAAAGCCTAACACTACCTGGCACATGATAGGCATTCAGTTAGGATTAGTTCAGTTCAACTGAAGTAGTGGCAAAGTGGCTCCTGAAAAGGCGGCTAGTTGGGAAGGGGAACTAAAAGGTTCAGGAATATTCCATCGAAGACTGAAGCTTGGTCATTCCTGGGAACTCACTGTAACTCAGGTCAACAAACACTTCTGAGCCTCTATTACATCTTAGGCACTGGGGATACAGAGATGCCACTCATTACTGGGGGAGTAAGAGAGAAGAATCAACAAATCATGGCACAGTGTGATAAAAGTAGCAGTCTGTACCAAGTTCTGGGTTGGACAGAAGGTGACTAATCCGGACGGGGAGTTAGTCACAAGAAGGCTTCATGGAAGAAGCTGGTTTCTAAGAGATGAAAAGGAGTTTGCTTGTTGCACTCCTAGAGGAGGACGCGGTAGCTTAAGCCTGGTAATTGCCTCACTGGGGCTGGGGCCGAGGAGTGTCTTGCTGTGCATTTATCATGCAGAAGGTACTGGATCTTGTACTTGGCAAATATTCAGGAAGTGTTTGCTGAATTGATTTGAGGGCATTTGTACAACCCAGGGTAAGAGGGTAAAGCTACCCAAATGGACCACTATGCATGTAACCCATTACCTGCGGCTCCTGCCCACCTTGTACAGGTTGACTACTGGCCAGCATTCATTCTTCTTTCTTCTGGGAAGAACACTGATTTTCCCTCGGGGACCTACCCTTCCTCTCACTCTCAGTCCACATGGTTTAGTGGGGCTGTCTTACTCTGCAGTTCCAGTGTGTGCAGATGACCCTGACTTGACGAATTAAAGCATTCCATCCCTGCCACTTCAGGATACTGTGACTGGTTGGGGTGGGGGTGGGGCTGTGTTAGTGACCCAAGTCAAACCAAATGAGATACAATCCTAGGATCTTTGCTAGAACTATTGGGAAATACCCCCCTCCCCTCCCTGCACACACCGGGATGGCTAAGGAAATAAAATACAAACTTGAAGTTCTTCGTGGCCATCTTGCCACCTTTGGGGGAGAACTTAGCTGACAATGAAAGACACACAGAAAAGTCGAGAAATCAGGAGATACTTTCTCAATGGTATCATTTGATCCACTTATACCTGAAGCCTTTATGGACTTTTCTGTCATAAAAAGCCAGTTTGTGTTTAGTGTCTGACAATTGCTACTAAAAGTATCTTGAACAATACAGCAGTATCTACCAGAAACATCTAGGGCCTTAGTCCTTTTACATCTGCCTCCTACAGTCTCCCTGAGGAAAAGAATCGTAAGATGGCAGGATGTTGGTTAGGTTCTTGTCCTCCAGATCTGTGGCCACACATCTCAGCTGTTTTGTGACCTTGAAGCCCTCACTTCCCGCCTATGCGTCTTCATTTCCTGATAAACTTGTTCTGTATTGGCTTTTCCAGTCGTCTTGAATTTTGAGGAAATGCCACTGGCTCCAGGCCAGTCCTGTGTCATTGGGTGTCAGGAGTTGGGATCTCTTCCTTGGTCCTGTTATTCTGAGGCCACAGCTGGCAAGTCTGTCCTCTGATCAGTAGTTTCTAGCCTGGATTATGCAGATCTCTGGTGGTACACAGCTGGGGTCCTGAAACCATAGGAAAAAAACAAAATACTGCTTCCTAGAGTGTCAGTTTTACTCATGGAAGTATTTTCAAGATTGAAGTGTAGTTATTCAGAGCACCATCTCTGAGCCAGACTTACATGGAATCAAATCCCAGTTCCACGACTTACTAGCTACATGACCTTAAGAAATTACTTAACTCTGTGTGCCTCAGTTTCCTCAGTGTAAAGTGAGGGTAGTATAACTCACAGATATAGAGAACAAACTAGTGGTAACCAGTGGGGAGAGGGAAGAGGAGAGAAGTGAGATGGGGTAGGGGATTAAGAGGTACAAACTACTATGTATAAAATAAACAAACTACAACAATGTATTATACAGAACAGGGAATATAGACAGTATCTTATACCTTTAAATGGAGTATTATAGATAAAAATTTTGAACCACCATGCTGAATACCTGAAACTAATATAGTATTATAAATCAACTACCTCATTTGAAAAAAAATAGTGAGGGTAGAATTAGTGTCTCTTATGAGATTATGGTGAAGTTTAAGTTAGTTTGTGTAAAAGTACTTAGAACATACCTGGTGCACATTGTACTATTTATTACCTATTATTATTTTCACTTGACTCTAAACATTTTATTTATTTTTAGGTTTCTCTTTAAATTCTTTTTTTGTGTATATATATTTATTGAAGTATATAGTCAGTTTACAATGTGTCAACTTCTGGTGTACAGCACAATGCTTCAGTCATATGAACATATATATATTCGTTTTCATATTTTTTCACCATGTTACTACAAGATATCGAATACAGTTCCCTGCGCTATACAGATGAACTTGTTTATATATTCTATTTAGATGTATGTATCAGTTAGTGTCCGAAAATCTCCAACTCTCAATTTGCCCCCTCACTTCCCCCCACCATAATAACCACAAGTTTGTTCTCTATGTATGAAAGGCTGTTTTACAAGTAAGTTTGTTTGTATTATTAAAACTTGGATATATTACGAAGTGCAAAGAAAACTAATGTGAATTTAAGATCAAAGACTTTGAAGAAATGTCACCTAAAGCTCTATCTCAGCTTCCCAGAGATTTGCTTTCTTCTGCCACTAAGAATACTTTCATCTTTTTTTTTTAACTACAAGAACCTATAAGAGAATCCAGATGTTGCGTTCTTCTAATTTTCTGGGCCATTTTCACTTCCAGGTATATGTTAGTCTCCCCATCCAACCTTCCACATTTCAGGGACAACCCACCTACCTGTTCTCATTTAGACATTTGTATTCCCATGTTTTATAAAACTTGATTATTACAAAGATAATATATGCAAGCTTGAAAAAATACTGTATTTCTTTAGTTTTTCAAACTTGGATAGGATTTTGGCAGGTAAGGTACTTGGGGCGGGCGGGGTGGGGGGAGGAACAAAGATAGAGAAAACAGCATGAGCAAAGGTCTAGATGCAAGCTATGTTCCAGAAGAGCAAGTCATTTTGGCTTGAGAGGAACTGATTATGAGGCTGGAAAAACAGGTTAAGTTCTTATCACTTGAGGATCTTAAATGCTACATACTACATACAGTGAAGTCTAGATTTGATTTCACCTCTCTAACCATGTTTCATCTGTAAAACTAGGCTAATTATGTCAATGAATTCTAAGGATTAATGACAGAGAGATGAAAACATATGGGAGTTATCCTGTATAGGAAATGGAATGACTGTCATTAGTTGAGATCAAGGATTCTTCTTGGTATAGAGCAAACCATCCCACCTTTCAGGGTGGCCTGCAATTTGGTCTGAGATCTTACCTCCCTGCAATGCACATCTCAACCACCAGAGGGAGCTTGATACAAATGAACCAGACCTCCAGCTCCACAGGAAAACTGGTGGGCAGGGTTGGGCAGGGGATGTAGAATTCTGGATCAGATGCAGAGGTTCACAATGGTAGGGGTGGGGCATGGATCCACGTGCCCCCTCTCTGGCCCTCTTGTTTCTAAGACCCATTCCAAGGAGAGGGGTGGGACATGTTGCCAGAAGGTAGAGCTCAGCAGCTAGCCAGATTTAAGATCTCTAGGATGGTGCGTAGAGTGAGGGCCAGATCCAGTTTGGGGGCCCAAGTTTCTGTATCTCAAGCAAAAAGGCTTTCATCAGCTCTGCTCATAAAGGCCAAATTCCTTCTCAGAATACCCCATGCCAGGCCAGGAGTCTAGCTAGGCCTGGGAACTTTAGAAAAGGAGCTGAGGCTATAAGCATGAGGAATGGGGAAGGAGAATGGGAGGCAGTGCCATACCCAACAACTGACCTTTAGAGAAGCATCCACATTGCCCTGGGACCCCAGCCTGTAGGTCTATCAGAAAAGACTAGGGAGTCAAGCTTCTCCAATCATGGCTTACAAACCAAACTAGGGTTTCATAGAATTTCTACAAAACCTTTACCTTTTCTTCTCCACTTACTCACACTAAGGAGCTTTTCCATTACAAATGTTAAAATGAAGGCCCGGAGATATTTAGCAATTTACCCAAGATCAAGTAGCACTCAAGAGGCTGGGGCTGGAAGCAGCAGGAACGGCTTGTAGGGGCCCAGGAAAGGGAAGGCAGGCAGACAAAGCAACAGTCCTCAGAACTGCTGCAAGCACCGGCTCTTGGCCAGGCTTCACACCCACCCCTCCAGGGCCAGTTCTGCTGCTAGGCCCCAGGTTGCTGAACCCCGCCTGCACACTCCCACTCTGGTCCCCTGAGAGTCCATCACCCTGGCAACAGCCAGAGAAAGGCCCAGCTAAAATATTTATGGCTCAAAACAGTCCAGAGGCTTCCCATAGGGGAGGGGGGAAAAGCTGATGTCATCCCTTCTCTGCTTGCAGGGGAGGTGACTGACAGGTAGGGCAGCTGGGTGGGTGGGCCAAGCCCACTAGGTCAGGGCTCGCAAAGGAAAATCCCTAGGGCTGCAAGTGGTAAGGAGAGGAGGGAGTATGTGACAGACGTGACAGGTGACAGGGCTGGGTAAGAAACACAAGCTGGAAAAGAGGAGGAAGGAAACAAGTGTTGAGCAGTATTATGCACAGACCCTGTGCTAGGCATTTCACACACACTGAAGTTGCTCCTCAGATCCCATACAGTAGATTGGGATTACCATTCTACTTTTACAGAGTAAACAGGCCCAGAAAAATACACAGCAAGTGAGGGGCTAGGATTTGAATCCAGATCTGTTTGGCTCTGGCCCAGGGAGCTTTCTTGTAATTCCATGGCTGCCAATAAGATACCCTGCATTTATGGATTGTGGGCAAGGCTTCCTAGGATCCTAGCAATGGCTTCTCAAATAATGACCCAAGCTTTGTACCTCCATCTTTCTATGACCAGGATGCCATCTGTTTCTGACTCCCCACCCCAAACTCCTCCTCTGCCTGCTGGACTGAAGCAGGTCCAATTGCTAGGTAAAGAATATGGCCACAAGATGAGGCCTAGGAGACCAAGAAGCTGGGGAAAATGAAACCCCAGTGGCCAAACCTGTACCGAGTCTCATTGTAAACACAGATTGACAAACACAACTCAGTTTGCCTGGGACGTTCCTGTTTTAGGACTGGAAGTCCAACATCCCAGGAACCTCCTCAGTCCTGGGTAAACCTGGTTTGTCACCCTAAGTCTCTCAAACACAGTGCTTTACTGTTTCAAAGTACTTGTGGCTGTTAAGAGGTACAAACAGGTCAAACACAGGGACTATGAAGCATGATAGCATCTTTTCTAAACCTTAGGCAAGTTATCCTCCTTGAGCCTCTGTTTCTTCATCTCTAAAATGAGAGTAATGGATTGAAGTATTAAAGTGAAATAGTACACGCAATGCTTGACATTGTGCCTGGTACAACTGAGCATTCAATAAATTATTAGCTGTTATTTACTTTATCAATAATGAAGATAAAAATGGGCTTAGAGGTTAAAAAACTTGCCCAAAGTAAATCAACTGATTTCAAGGTCCCTTTCTTGCTAAGAATGAATCCAAAGCTCATTAGAATGCCTCAGGCACAGTTAAAATGCAGGCATGCTCTCTCCAAACTCAGCCCTTCCCCTCGTTCCTTTGTTAGGATAACTAACCAGAAGGCAGTGAAGGAAGGGTGCAGCATTCCTCTCAGAAGCTCAGGGTTAAAATCAGACTATGGCATAGGTCATAGGAAACCAGAAGTCTAGCAAAGGCTGACTTTCCAATTCTCCAAAAGAAAATGTTAGGACAAATAGCCCAGTTTAGCTGGAAGCAGAGGGGAGCTAGACAGGGGAACTCTGGCTCTCTCCCAAAGCTGATAGAAGCTACCAGTGTGGGGCCAATCATCACTTGGCTGTTTTTATTGAGCTCCTTAGTGCCAGATGTTTGTTGGGGAAGAGATATAGTCCAGAGGTGAAGTGGGAAAAGCCCTACCCTACTCTTGAGGAGCTTTCTTGGACAAGGTTAGTAATCAATGACAAAGAGAGAACAGGCTCCGAGGTTAAACAACTTGCCCAAGTGCAGGGACCTTCTCACCTGGCTCTCAGCCTGTCACAGAGGCGGGGAGCAGCCTGTCTCTGGGAGCCCTCTGGATGTGTCCAAGGCTGGCACCACAACACACGTGTGGCAGGGTGGGAAACAGGAGGTGGCGGCACCATGTTCCAGACAGTTCTGCTGGGGACTAAGGGGAAGCAGGCAAACTGGGACTGACATGGTAGGAGTTGCCAGTTTATTCACATCTAGGAGGCCATGCTGAGGATACTGTTAGTCCCCTTCAATTCTTTGAAGTCCTGAGCAAGTTTAACTGTTAGCATCACAGTCCCCTGCATCCCTAAGGACTCCATTCTGGGCCTAGAGCCTCTTTTAGGGGATCCTGGCTGGCTTTCTGTGGGTAAATCAGATGGAGAGGTGGGGTGGGAAAGACTGCTGGTCTCCTCTCCAGGGTTTCTCTGTGCTCAGCAAATGCCCTCGGGCCAGCCTTGACACAGCAGGCAGCTCTCCTGGTTTCCGGAGTCCTCTGACGGCTGCAAAGACACAGGTAGAAAATTAAGAAGCATGAAGTCCCCGTATCAGGGGGGCTTTCCAGCCTCCCATCTGGCCAGTCTGCCTCCCTTACAGTCTCCCCACCCCACAGCAACAACTCCAGTTGTTCCATTCAGGATAGGGTTTCTAGGTACACAGAGGGGTAGAAAATAGAAGTCCACAACCGATGAGCTCTCTTTTTGCTGCCAGTCAGGCAATGAAAATGGAGCCTCGCACCTCATACCTCTCATCCTTGGCCATGCCTGAACTGAGTGATACAGGGCAGAATCAACCAGGTCTTTGGGGCCTTTGGCTGTATAAGCTCTGGTGCCTCCAGCTACATCAAGGGAAAAATTTCTACTCTCTCAGAGATGTGAAAAAGAGAAAGAGCTTTAAAAGCCTTTGGAAGAAAGGGAATGGGGAAATAGGCATCTTCTCATAGCTATTATTAGTACCTTAATCCTAGGCTCAGGGGTCCACCTCTTCTGGCCTTATGAGGAGTTCTCAGGGTTATCCACTGGAGAGACATATCCTAAGCATGGGGCACAGGCCAGGGCCCTAAATGGCACGATCATTCCCCGAATTGTTCAAGCCAGTAACTTGGGGCCTTTCCTTAGTATATCCCTCTTCTCCCACATCTAATCAATCACCAAAGTAACAGTATAAGGTTCAGATTCCTACCTCACCTTGGACCTGCCCCAGTCCTATCCTCTGCCTAGAATGTGCCTCATGTCTTTTCTCTAAACCATCTCCTAAACCTTCTGCCTCAAGGAAAACCCAAGAGCTAGGGAAGTTCCTGTGGTATGCCTTCATCTATTCTTTTCTTTCATAGCACTTACCACAACTGAGATAATTTATACTATTTATGAGATTAATATGTTTAGTGTGTCTCCCCAAATACAATATAAGCTCCATGAGGTCAGGGACCGATTTTATCTTGTTCACTTGCCACTGACTCACCAGTGTCTAGCACATAGTAGATGTTTCAATTTATAACAGTGAAAAAAATATATATATATAGGGTCATTTATACTGATCTCTAGAGAGATGCTTATGAAGAATCTTATCAAAACATAAGGTATTTCTCCTTCTCAAAGGCAGATGCAGAATTTGTTTCCTACATTCCAACCCCAGGGAATCTAAGGGATAGAGAGCAGCCATTTTGTACCTAAAGCTATGCCATAAACAAAAAGCATGAAATTGGCAGGAACCAGAAGACTGAAGAGAATTAGCTTGGTATCTAACCCCAAACTCTTCTATCCCAAAATCTTTATGTACCTGCTGAAGATACTGGCTATTTTGAGGTGGGCCAAGGTAGGCTCCAGAGGTTGACATGAAACACCTAATTCAGGCATCTTAATGCAGTATTAACATAAACTACCCAGACTTCCAGCAATGTGTTCTACTTTGGTGATTAAGCTGGGCTGACAGTGTGAGGCTGTACCTCACACTGCCTGGAAACATCTCAAATGGGCTGTGTTCAGAAGTCCCCACAACCTTTCCCAATTTGATGTGGAAATGACAAGGTCTCCTTGAAGCAAAAAGCTCCCCAGGTCTAGGTGGGGAGAAGCACTATGATAGCTTGTGTACATGTCTGAGAACTCCTACCTGCCCACTTCCTGCCTAAGATGCAGTCAAAGACAATCAGCACAGCCTAAGCTAAGGAGTAGTTGTACATCTACCGATGAGAAGCTGCTAAATTTGTAGTCAAGGAATGTCAAGAAGCTAACCTCCAACAGCACAGTTGTGAAACTCAAATCCCTTCCAAATACAAAGCTCCTTTCCTTTAGAAAAGAGAGCTACAGTTCACAGAACACTGGATAAGAACATATAACCAACCCCAGAGCCGTAACAGCTACTGAGTAGAAGTCCTCCAGCCCAGGGGTTAGAAAATTGATTTTAGAGGCCAGTGAACATATCTGCTCCTCATTACCCACCCCATCCCCCAAGGGTTTGGTCTACTGCTTAAATGCAGCCTCCTTGGGAGCCCAGGGCCACAATAGGACTAGGGTGCAGTGTCCACCATAAGTCTTTGCTCCTAAGGGGCCTACAAGGGAAGAAAAGAGCAAGTAGTCAGGCAGCACACTGTACTTCCTCCCTTCCCCACAAGCAGCTGCTGTCAGACAGCTGTACGCAGCCTGCCTGCTCAAGGCTATTAAATATTCATGAGATGCTTGCTAGCTTTAAACATGCAATGACAATTCATCTGGAGAGCAAGAGGTACATGAGGGTCCAAAGAGAGAGGGAGGGCACAGAAGGATCCAGTTCTTTTAACTTCACGAATCCAGAAACGAAGCTAGGGGCACCCATCCTGAATATCAAAGACAGGACATGACTTTCAGTGTCAGCTGATCTACTGGTGGCTGCTGTAGGTACACAAGAAAGACCAGGAGGCAGCTAAATGGGAGCAGAAAGACTTGGGTCTAAACTCCAGCTCGTGGACCCTGTGGTCATCTTAACCTGTGCACATCAGTTTTCCAGGACAATCCTTACTTCACAGAGTTGTCTAAGAGAATTACGTGGGATGCTGCAGTATGATACTCCTTGGAGAGTTAGCACAGAATTAAGAGCTTAAAATGGAGGCAGAGACTTCATTCATTCCAGACTGAGAGGGGTGAAGCAAAGCCTTGCTTAGTAATTCCTTATGAGCCAAGTTTCCATCAGTGGAGACTCACAGAGTTTTGGTCTCTAATTCACAGGGTAGGGGAAAGGGACAGGATATAGGAAGACACCCTCAACATATGGTGAAGGCCTAATATCCCACCCTCAAGTAGCCCAAATATCTCAGAAGAGAGATGCTTATTCTTTCTGAAAAAGGTTAAGAACCAAAAAGCCTTCAGGTAAGAGGGAGCAGAAGTCAGGCACAGGGTGGGGAAAACACCCCCTTCGCTCTTCCACAAAGAAGTAGTGCCACTTTATGGAAGGTGCATATCTCCTATGGCCCTTACTTCCCTAACTCCCCAGCACAAGGGCAACCCAAGTGTGTTCAAGTCGCTCCCCTGTTTAAGTCCTTAAGGCCAAATTCCTTGACTAACATTTAGCTTTTCAAAACTGGCACTAACATACGCTTCTTGCCTCTATTTATAGCTAACAAGTACTGGGTGCTTACATGTCATGGTGAATGTTTCACATACATTAATTCACCCCAACTTCACAACGATGCTGTAAAATAAATATTATCCTCCCATTTTACAGATGATGGAACTGAGACTTGGAGAGGATAACTTACCTAGGTTCCAAAGCTAGCTACACTACATAAAAATGTGTGCTAAACTGTGTAAAAAGGAATAGTAATAGCTACTTTACAGGTGGAGGACATAGTGCATGGAATATAGTAAAGAATAAATGTTAGAATTGATAAAAATGCAATAGTAGCTAAGTGACATTTTTTCAGATTTTAACACTTCTGAAATCAGGATGCATCTTACATTCATATGAAAACAAACCATTGTGTTGGTTTAACTGGCAGTACTTTTTCTTCCATTGCAGTATTTAATGATGCATCTTAGAATAAATGGCCTCAGTGTCAATGAAATATGGTGTTTTATCTTATAGAGGCAGCATGCTTTCAAAATAAACAATGGACTTCGCTGTACAAAAGTGTCGACGTGCACTTCCTCCACAACTTGCTATGCAACTCTGGTAAATCACTTCACTTCTCCTAGTATCAGCTGCTCATTTACAAAAACAGACACACCGTAGGCATTCAAATTAAGTTCTCTCCTCCCTTAGAGAGGCAAAGCTGCCTATTTTCTCTACATCACTTTTTCCTTTTAAAGAAATGGGATCAAGCTCAATTAATGGGAATAGATAGAGAAGTGATAAAATGAGGGAAAATTAAAATGACTGCTTAATAGTAACTCTGCCAACAAACAGCAGCCTGTATAGGCTGGCACAAAGCACGAGAACACATCAAGAAAGAGGGAGCCCATGTGCTGCCTTAATGAGTTCTAACTCAAATGACCTTTGGATGACACAGAGCTCCAGGGGTTTGAGGCCAGGGAAGGATTACTTAATTTTCATATACCTGGGCAAAACATCCACCACCACCACCTTTTTCCACCTTGTTCACTTGGCTGGGGAGTACTCTGCATATGTGTACGCAAGAAGCCTTATGGGTCCTAACTCTCAGGCTGCTGTTCCTGAAACAAAACATTGTGTGAGTCTGTTTCATCCTTGGTGGCTAGAAAGCCCTAGCAGCTGCTGGGAGAGAAAGCAAGAGCGGACAAACCCTAAGGCTATGTGAGTAACTGTCAAATCCCTAAGTAAGGAAGGGAGCTGGAGAGAGGACCAAAAGAGGCTGATGGTGCGAGAGGAGCATGGGGGCAGGGCCCAGCCTCTGAGCATCTGGAGAACTATGTATGGCCAGGCATGACAGCTCCAACAGCCTCATTACCACTTTAGCAGCCTGCACTATAATACACAGGGTACAGACATGATTTGGAGTCACCCATATCTCTTAGTGATACCAAAATAATCCAATCAGCTATTATTTATTATTGAGTAGCTACTATATGCCAAAAATGATATTGATCACTTTAAGTAATACCAACTTCAAAGGGCAATAGATCTATACATCTATGGTCAAATGACTTTCGACCAGGGTGCCAAGGTCATTCAATGGGAAAGAACAGTCTTTGCAATAAATGGTGCTATGACAATTGGATATGCACATGCAAAAGAATGAATATGAACGCCCTACCTCATACCATATGCAAAAGTTAATGCAAAATGGATCAAATACCTACACATAAGAATTAAAAGTTTGGAAGGAAAAAGGTATAAAGCTCAGGACCTTGAATGAGACAATGACTTCTTACTATGACATCAAAAGCACAAACAACAAAAGAAAATAAGAGTTAAATTGGACTTCATCTAAATGAAAAACTTGTGTTTCAAAGAAAATAAAGACATCTCACAAAATGGGAGAAAATATCTGCAAATTACATCTGATAAGGGCCAAGCATCAAAACGTATAAAGAACTCATAATTCAATAATAAAAAGACAAATCTGATTTAAAAATTGACAAAAGATTTAAACAAATTTTTCTCTAAAGAAGATATACAAATGGTGCATAAGCACAAGAAAAGATGCTCAAAAGTGCTAGTCATTAGGGAAATGCAAATCAAAACCACAATGGGATACCAATTCACACACAGGATGGCTATAATAAACAAAAAGAAAATAACAAGTGCTGGAGAGGATATGGAGAAATTAAAAACCACATACATTGCTGGTGGGAACTGTACAGCCTCTGTGTAAAACAGTTCGGCAGTCCCTCAAAAAATTAAACAGTTACTACATAACCTAGCAATTCCTCTCCTAGGTATATATCCAAGATGTCCACACAAACACATGTACATGAATGTTCATAGTAGTATTATTCACATTAGCCAAAAGTTGGAAACAACTCAAATGTCTGTCAGGGGGTAAATGGCTAAATAAAATGTGGTATATGCATACAATTGGATAGTATTTGACAATAAAAGGGATACTGACAACATGCTACAATGTGGATGAAGCTCAAAAACATTATGCTAAGTGAAAGAAGCCAGTCATAAAAGATTATAATTGTATAATTCCATTTAATGAAGTGTCCAGAATAGGCAAGTTGGTAAGAGACAGAAAGCAGATTCATAGTTGCTTAGAGCTGGAAAGGATAAATGGATTGTGGGGAGATGGCTTAGTGGGTATGGGATTTCTTTCTGGGGTGAAAAAGATGTTCTAAAATTGACTGTGGTGATGACTACACAATTCTACATACTGAAAACCAGTGAACTGTGCACTTTAAATGGGTGAGCAGTATGGTATATGAATTGTATCTCAATAATCCTAACATGTCTTTTAATTTGTATTAATAGAAGCTAACCAGAAGCTGCAAACGGGCAGGCTATGGGCAGCATTTGGCTTGCAGCAGATGTTTTACAGGGAATGACACAAATCTGAGCAAACATTCAACAACGGGTAGTATACAAAATCCAAATTTCTAATTCTTCTTGAAAATCAGCTCTAGCAAGTCTAACTAGTAACGTGTAGAGCTGGGAAAGAAACATGAATGAAAACGATTTTCACAAGGACCTACTATATACAGGGAACTATTCAGTATATTGTAACAACCTATAATGGAAAAGAATCTGAAAAAATATACACAGACATACACACACATATACATATTAAAAACTGAATAACTTTGCTGTATACTTGAAACTAACACAACATTGGAAATCAACTATATTACAATTAAGAAAAAAAAAAAAGACCTCCAAATACTTGAAAGGATACTCCTTCAGGGGTCCAAAGTAGAATCAGTGTAAGTTACTAAAGTGACTTGTTCAAAATGAGGGAAAACTTCTAATACTTGGAGCTGTCTTAAATGAAATGGGCTGCTCTGGGAAGTAGCATATTTCCTATCACTAGTATGAAGTACTGATACATACTATATAACATGCATGAACCTTGAAAATATTATGCAAAGTCAAAGAAGCCAATCACAAAAGGCACATATTATACAATTCCATTTATATGGAATGTCCAGAATAGGGAAATCCATAGAAACAAAAAGATTAGTGGGAGAGAGGAGAATTGGGAGTGACTACTACATAAGATTCCGTTTGGAGTAATGGAAATTTTCTGGAATTGAATAGTGATAATGGTCACACAGCATTGTGAACATTCTAATAACCACTGAACTGTGTGCTTTAAAATGATTAAAAGGGTAAACTTTGTTACATGAATTTTATCTCAATTAAAAAAGAAAAAGGAGGGGAGGGTATAGCTCAAGTGGTAGGGTGCATACTTAGCATGCATGAGGTCCTGGGTCCAATCTCCAGTACCTCCTCTAAGAATAAATCAATGAATAAACCTAAATACCTCCCCCAACCAAAGAGAGGACCAAACGAGATACTCTTTACTAACTGCTTAGGATTTTATGGTGCACATGGTGATAAATGTGAGCTATTATCATCAACTCTATTTGATGATAAAAGAAATGAGATACAGAGAGAGGGTAAGGATTTTGTCAAAGACAAAGGTTATGATGACGCAGAGCCAGGACAGGTCCCCAATCTTGCCTGGCTCTAAAGCTTACAGAACTGTTAAAAAAAAAAAAAAAAAAAACCTCATAGGTAGTGACAGAAAGCTATAGAAAACATTGGGACCAACTGACTAAGCTACACAACCAGAATAGGGATGTGGGTCTGCCAACAATGGAACCTGCCTTTTCAAGCACTAATTACAGGCCAAATGAAGAAAGAAGTTTCTCCCAAATTCTGCTCTTAAGACTACCCTAGGAAGAGTGGAGACTAAATTCTTTGCCTTCAGGGACTTTCCCCTAAAATTTCCTAGCCATTCATGTGACCAGTATCAAACTTAGGACTTCTTGGATGCCCAGGACCATGCTCAATACCATGGCCCTCCTTAAAGGCTCCAGATCTCAGAGGCTCCTGGCTGAGAGGCAGGTTTGGAAGAAATGATCTCCAAGAAGGCAAATTTCACTGTCAAAGGCTACCATACCTTTGACCTACTTAGTTGGATCCTTTCTCCTCACTGCCCTCACATCCCTGACAACTTACTAAGGGGCAGAAGAAAAATCATCCAATTAGTTCCTTGATGGTTCAAGCAACAGGAAGATTCACTCAGTTGTCAGAACCCCCAAATACCTAACCAGGGGGCTAAACTTTCTTAGGGAAAGAACACTAATATTTACTACATATAGGGCATAGACTTGGTTGGCTTTATATATATTTGAACTCCTTCGGTTCCCCAGCCACTGTAAGGTATACATTGTCACTATCTTCCTTCCCAGATGTGGAAATAAGTAATGTTTTAGGTCACTGAACAAAAGCTCATAGATTCAACTCCAGGTTTGTCAGGTTCCACGTTCTTCTACTATACCACAGTGTCCCTAACCAGGGGTCTCTTCAGTGTGAGAAATACCCCTTTCTCAGATTAAAAGAAGTATAGTATGAGAGTTAAGATGTTAAATTCTGGCAACACATAAATTTGGGCCTGATTACTAGCCATACTAATTATGTGACCCTGGGAAGTCACTTAACCTCATTAAGTCTCAGTTACCTCTGTAAAATATGAACATTAGTGAATAATTATTTTTCGGTTGTTCAGTATCTGTTTCCTTTTCCTAACAACACCCTGACTTCCTTTTGAGGAATTAGTTTTTTCTTACTGTATACTGGAAAAGTACAGACATGTGACTCAGGCTATTCCAGTCTGACACTGTCTGCCTCCCTAGAACTTGAATCTTGAGTAGAGGGAGAAAGAAACCAAACATGGCTAGAGTTCACTTATTCTAGCAATGAACCCAAGCAATGAATCCTAACTTAAGGACCATTCCTGTGGTCTACCACTGCTGTTCCAGTTCACTGCACCCACTCCAGTTTCCCAAGCCAGATTTTTTAGCCTTCACACTAAATCCGTGGGCCCCTAACATCCTTCTGATAAACTCCCTTTTATTTACACTAGCCAGTCACTTTGGTGCTTATAACCAAGGAACTCCAAATGCAACACCACCTTATCAGGTTATTGACAGAACAAAATCGAATTTAATACATGTTAAGTTGACATTATCTGGTCATTACAAGTAAATTCAATATGGACTGCAAACCAACATAAAAGCACGGTCATGTTGTAAATATGGTACAAAGTGCAAACAAGCAAGATTTGCCCACTGATCACCTTCCAGGCCAGTTCCTGCCAAAACCATTTTACAACTAGGATAAAAGTTCCATGTCCTTAATAGAAAGCCACCTTAACATACCTGACAGGGGTCTTCACTACCCATTCTACTCCAGGAAATCCCTCAGGAGTTTTCAATCACCTGAAAATGGAGAAGTAAGAGATCAGTCTTTTGAAGAGGAAGTCTTAAAGACATACAAAATAAAAGGTAGAGATCCTGCATGCAGTTTACACATTACAGGAGAGAAACATGCAACTTTAAAGAAATTTTAAGTAACATTTCATTGTGAATATCAATATGGGGACCTATTGGGGCTCATCCTTATACATTTTAAAACAGCTGAGCAGAAAGCTTTACTTTGGGGAGCAGCAGGTCTAAACTACAGTCATTGAAATTTTACAATGTGTCATTTAAGATGTCAGACTTTGTGCCCAGGTTACATTACAGTTCACTTGTGATGGGCAGGATTATTAAGAGTTATGGCTAATTTATGCGGCAGCATATGGTTTTTCTTTTTACAGCTATTTTTATTAAACAAGTTTTGCAAAGTTTTAACATTAAAATTAACAGCTAAAGAATTGTTTATGCAAGTTGCTGTCACAGTTTATGTAAAAGAGAAATATGTGCTATTAAAATCAGACATTTAGGTTACCTTTGGTTTTTTGCGATGCATGTTAGCTTTACACATCCTGATTCTCTTGCGATAATTTTCCTTTAAAAAGGGGGGTATAGAGTGATCTCTTTTCATCAAAACAAGACATAATGCCCTGAAAGCTGACTTCAAACCATGGTTGAAAATTCAGTTATTTACACTTTATCACAATCTACAAATACATTTTTTTGTTGGTGTGTTTTAAAAAGAAAAAAAAAATGTCCATCATGCACTGCTGCAGGCAGCTTGGCATTTCATACAAGAGGATTTTTCACCCCCGAGCAGTTTAGGTGGCTCCCTTAGGGAAGGCATGAGAACCCTGATAATTAACATAGAGGAGTGGAAACAGGGTCAACCAATTCCATCATTTCCTCTCTTGGTCTCTCAGGAGGGAGGTTCAGAGCCAGGCTATCATGCCAGATCCTGCCCCAGCCCAGCTGATTGATTAAAAGCATTTCTGGGATTGGAAGGGAAACCCTTAAAGGCACCCAGGGTCTGCTGAATTGTCGTATCTAAAGGCAAGTGCTATCCCTTTCCAAACTCACAGAGATTATTTGGTGTCACTCTTAGGGCCACCTAGGGACTCTACAGAAGGTGCAAACTAGGGTGGCTGGTACTTTAAATATTAAGGCCTGTATGGAAACCAATTCAAGTTTCAGCTTAGTTAGATTTTTCTCTCCAGAAATTAGAACTTGTGATAAGAACTGGATAAAACTGCTTTAACAACTTCCAGGGGGTGAAAAAGCTTTGGTTATTTTTAAACTAAAACTTAACAACTCATAAACTTTTTTTTGGTAAACTTAAAATAAAATCCCCCCCACCACTTTTAAGAATGTCTCCAACTTTTAACAAGCCCATTAACTTTAGAGTTAATTTAAGTTTATTTGAAAGAGAAAACTATTTTATTGTCCACCCAAAAAAAAAATGACAATTCATCACATTTACTTTGATTAAAAAAGGACTAAACTTTATTGACAAACTGCTGCAGACATTTTGACATAGGTTTAAGCTACCTATTTAGGCAGACTTACACATGTAGCATTTAATCTTCCAAGAACAAAATGGGAGGACGGTACAAATCCAACTAGGACTTTAACTTATGTACAAAGTGGATTTTGATTCCTTTTCATTCAGCTGCAGTGTCCCTTTTTATATCATGCTAGTGTTGAGACATACTTGACTAACTACCTTGGGAACAGTTCAATATTGACAACTGTCAACTTAGGAACATCATCAGCTTTTGGCCCCAGTGTCCAAGTGAGCTTTTCATGGAGTGTAGAATCTCAGATGGACAAAATACTATGTCTTTTTAAATACTGAAATTTTAATTATTAGTACTATTGCTGAAAGGTTGTTTGTGACTAAAAAGTTCTGTATCAAATTCAATTCAGGTGGCCAGCCCCTCTCCCCAAATCAACCTGTTCAAAACCTACTTCCCACTAAGTATCTCTCAACACTGTATGTCTGGGGCTAGATTTCAAAACCCACATAATGAAAAAGTCAGTTTTACAAACCTAATTTTGTTGTTGTTTTTTATATCAATTAACGTTAAAAATTGCATCAACTATTTAATTCATGAGGATTTTTCATATTAAAATTTAACCTTAAGATTCAACCGCCATGTGCTTTTAAAGGAAACATTTTTAGAGACGTCTGAGCTCACTTTTACATGGTGGCACCTACTGCCGTTAACATTTGTGATTTTAAATCTTATACAGCCCTGAATTTTGAAATGTAGCCTAGTTTGGGATTCTGCAACTACAACTTTACGGGATGCCTCAAATCAAAACTAAGAGAAAGTTAACAAGCCTTAACTTCAGAACCTTTAAGCAAGCAATGTCACTTTTGAAACTAACAGGTTTTGTGGTTTTTTTTTTTACTCAACTTTTTTATTATAAAAGGTACATTTCTGTTTATATTTAAACAACAAAGAAAAAAAGCATCTACACACTTAAAAAATTAATTCGATATTCCTAAATCTATTTTAACTCATTTTAAAATACTACATACAGAAGCCAGAATGCAGAGTTAAGAATGGAGTAAGGTGGGGAGAAGAAAGGGACCACGAAGAAAAACACTTAGACAATTACTTGTCTGTTGTGGGTAAAGCAACAGGAATCCTGGGAGATACAAGAAATCAGTAACAACTTTGCTCATAACTGATATTTTCCCCTCATGTTTGTTTTTAATAACGTCCATATGGGTGTTCTCTGTATGCTCCCTTCACTGGCCTAGCTGGAGGGGCCTTCAGCGACGGCCTGGTCCCATTCCAGTCATCTTGGCCTGTGGGGAAAGCAAGAACAGTTTATAAACCTTCTGCCAAGAGCATTTTGGGATGGGCAGGAGTAGGTCACCTGGTAAAGATTACCAAAAAAAACCTGCTTTGCTTCCAATGTCTTGCCACCTTTTACTCTGCTTGGCCTCTCTAAGCAGCTTAGGCAATTTCCCAACTGTGGGGCAGTTTTGGGTGGACAGACAGAAGGATACAGTTCAGGAAGGGCTTGGAGTGATGTCCAGGAAAGACGCTCTCCGCAGGCAACATGATCTATACACCAGCCCCCAAATCTGGATAAACACCTTGCTTGAGACAGTGAGGAAATCAATCTTTTTGGGTCTGTGATGCCCTTTCCTGTTTCCAAAGCAATTTGGCAGTGACAACTTCTGAAAGTCTTTCAGATTGGAAGCAGGCAGCTCCCTTTTCATGCAACAGCAAGTCAGATTTCCCTGTGGAGAAGTGTCCTCTGGCTCCCTGGGAAGAGCAAGCAAGGGCTGTATTTCAAGAGCCTTCCACCAACAGAGCTGATCCACCACTCTGGCAGTGGGAAGTATAATCAAATGCATTAACAGCACTCATGGGGAGAATTCATGATCTCCTCTTTTACATCAATAGTCCAGGGAAGTCAGACAACATGAGTGACATCCTCAAATGATTTTTCTTTGTAGCAGAGAAAAGCCTACAGGAGACGACCACTTACTTCTAGAGCTGACGTCTCATGAACACGAGTTGTGTTTAGAAGCTTTCTTGTCCCACTCACCCCTAGCCTTTACCCAAGCCAGTACTGCTTTAGCTACTTGTATTCACTTGTATTCAGGGGAGGATATAGCTCAAGTGGTAGAGCACATGCTTAGCATACACTAGGTTCTGGGTTCAATCCCAGCACCTCCTCTAAAAATAAATAAATATGTAAACCTAATTTACCTCCCCTCCCCGCCAAAAATCAAACAATACTTGCATTCACAAACATCTGCTTCCACCACTACAGGTCTAAAACCCCTACATGGATGTAAAGTTGCACAAAAGCCTATCTAAGCCTGTTTACACCTCTAGTATAATAGATATGTCCATCACTTTCCAACTGGCTTCTGGGTACCAACAAGACAGTTTACTTTTCTAATTCTGTTTATAAAGGCAGAAATCAGAACAGATTAACCGCGGCAACATCATACCAAGAACACGAGGAGCAGCCTGCCTGTTTCAGTGCAGTCTCTTCTCCGGCAAAACAGAAATGTAATTTAGTCAAACACATACAGAGGTCCCATTGTGCTGCCTCACTGATGGAGGGAAATACCCCAGGGCAATCATACTACCCTTCTAAATAGTGGCATATGAGCAGAGCAGTGCAGTGTTACTGATGGGAACTGTCCAGTACTATTTAGCTAGAGCTGGTAAAAGCTGTTTCCCTGGGCAAGCAGCTGACTGGCTACTATATACTATGCTGAGGAGTTCTGTGGGAGGCCCTAAGAGGCTTCTCCTTTTCAGTTAGGGGTAAGGGGGACTGTCAACTAGTAACTAGTATCTTAAGATAAATTTTCAGCTGCTAGGCCCTTGTCAAGGACTGGGGACTGGGGACTTCCCTCAGGTATGCTGGAAACACCTCACGTTAAAAAGGCTGCTCTCTCTGTGTCTACCGCCACATGGCACTCCCTCTGGGGCCCATTAACACAGGGCCGTAACTGGCTCTTGTAATACTCTTGAGCAATGTGTTTTCAACCAAATCTCAGGGAAGACAGCTTGGCTGTGTTGCCATTCTGGCATCTATAGTTCTCCTGGGGTCAAGGACTGAGTTGAGATGTCTCCAAGACAATAAGGAGCCTGGTGCCAGTACTGCCCTGAATTGGCTCCAGCCCAAATAGTTTCTAATCTAACCAGCACTGTTCTTGACCCCAACCTGCTCTTGCCATCTAGGTCTCTTTCAGCTAGCTTTTCCTCTACTCTGAGATTCTTTATGATGAGATCCAAAATTGTTTTTAATAACGAGGTTGGGCAGAAGTGCTGGATGATTAAATTCTTAGTATCTAACAATGTGGCCTAGGTATCACTAGCAAAGGTCCAGCAACATAACCCAGGCCTAGTTACCTTCCAGCCTAAAGTAGGAAAAAATCAAAACCAGCTTAAAAGCTTGCTGCTTCAAGCAGGCCAAGATGGACCTGCCCTAGATTAGGACATCTGCTTAGCCTTCCAAGAGCAATAGCACACCTATCTTATTTCAACAGTCCCTCTTTCTACTGCACATCACACAATTTAAGTAAGAGCAGGACTCCTACTGTGACATCTATCAACACACTGGCCTTCTTCTATCAGAGGTTTCTCTTTGGATGTGTGACTATCTGATCCCCAATAATCCAGTCACCAGCATTCTCCTTGGCACATACTTGCATATTTTGTCCCACCACAGAAATAAAGACATACCATATGCTTCATAAGAATCTTGAACCTCCCCATGTCCATAGTCATAATATTCTGAGTCCCTGAAAGCCAAAGACAGAATGTTAGAGCTATACAGTAACTATGTTTCAGTTTCATCTTTCTCCCCAAAACTTTCATATTTTAGTCATTTTACTGTGTGTATAATTTAAAAAAAAATGCTCATTTTACCCCATCTTCAAACCACAAAATATTTCCAAAACATGTATACACTAGGTACTCAAAAAAGTTATGACAACTATAGGAAAGAAAAATGCAGAGCATACAATTTAAAGTGAAAAAGCTCAATCCAAAATTGACTATCTTAACCACAATGTACATACACATGTATTCACAGGGCTCACTGGAAGAGAATAAACAAACATGAAGAGAAATGTTCTGTCCCTGCTGTAGAATTATGAGGCCTTTTCAATCAACCGCAGTTAAGATACATATATACATACACAAAAAAAGTCTTTTAAAAAAAGAGCAGAAAAGAACCTGAGTTACAGTTAGAAGAGTCTAGTTTTCTTTTAAACTTTTATGCAACTTTAATGTGGCTGTGATGTTTTTGATAATCAAAATAATTTTAAGGCATTTTCCCTTTATTTCCATATAGCCACAGCTCAGGAATTTTTCATCTGCTAACCCCAGATTCTGTGATTTAAGAGTCACAGTTATCCAAATTTGCAAACCCAAGTTATGTGCCTTACAGATGTCAAAAGCAGAGGAGACACTCTCAAAAGGTGAGCCATACTGCTCCTTAGATTTGTGCTGCCTGAATATCTCAGTTCCTCCAACTCCCTCATCCATCCCTAGGACATGGATCTTCTATTGCCTGACTCACCCTTGGCTCTGGCTGTAGTAGCCTTCGTAGCCTTCGTAACTCTGTTCTGCATATGTATCATCGTATCCCTAGAACAAATAAAATGAAGTAGAAAGTCAGAGTCACAGAAAGTAGGTAAGGTAATCATCTTTCATGGGAGTATGGCAGGCTTCTGGATTCACAGAACATGAAATTTCCCTCCAAAATGTTAACCCCCATTGTGGAACAGTCAAGAAAGAAATAGTTATTTTTTAAAAAATGAAACAAAGCAACTAATAAAATGGAAAAAACCCTTCCAGTGTGGGCAGGAAACAAGGTACAAGGCTGAACTTCAGCATTATCAGTACTAGTAGTGGGAGACCCGTTAGTAAAACACTGTACACCAGGGAAGCAGCACTGCTTACTTCCTGTTTAACCTACACACATTCAGTAAACCATATTTAAAACGGAAAAATATTCTCACAGTTTAACATCCACTGCAAGGGAAGAGGGCAGATTCCAAATCTTACAGGTAGTCCCTGCCATCTACATCAAGGGCCAAGGCCCTGTCCTTCAACTTCCTTTGGCAACCTGCTGGGTATTGGGAAATGGCACATTGTCCAAACTTCTTACATATTCTTCATATGTCTCTGGTGCAGGGGGTGGAGGCAAAGGTATTCTCTGGATGCCTGCTGTCCGTGCTCTTGGTGCTGGAGCACCCCTCACAGTAGGTGGGGGTGGCACCCCTCGAGTCACAGTGGCACCTCTGGTGATGGCTCCTCTCACTGGTGTACCACGCACTAAAGCCCCCCGAGGTGGTCCAACACCACGGCCCCTGCAAAAAGAAAGTTCATTTTAAATGGAGATTTTTCTAACTAGGCTACTTTCATGTTCAGATTTATTTACAAATTCTGGAGCTACATAGGAGATTTTACAATGCCTTAAACACACAATTATTAAAACACAGAAGAATGTATGGGTGGGTAAAGGACCCATACCAGAAGACTCTCCAGGTCCCATGGTTGACCTGTTAATGACTCACTATTAACTCCCTTGGAGAGTCTGAACAGTCCATAAGGTCAGTCACAAAAGGTAAGATTCTAAAGCCAGAGAGCATTTATAAATGCTAACTGTCCAAAAGTAAAAAACCAAAAACTTCAGGACTGCTGCACTTGACTATGACCAAAGTGCCCAAGATCCAGAACTCTCCTCTTGATGCCACATACAAATTCTGAGACCCATTTTGAGCTAGAGATAAGAGCACCAATAAGAGAAAAATGATACTCGCAATCAAATTTACATCCTATTTCAAGTGGTCTCCATTATTTATACCTTGGAACAGGTGGAGGAGGAGGTGCAGCTCCCCGGCCTCTCACTGGCACTCCACGTCCGCGAGAGGGCTCTGGTACTCCATTCAAGTAGGAAAGCTCTAGAAACTGCTCCTGGCAAATATCATCCATCATATCCTACGGATAAAAGATAATGAGGAGTGTTGTGCAACATCTCTATCTTTTACTGAGAAGTCATCTAGCCCACATGAGGCTTGGGTGCTAAGAACAACTTTGAAAGCCCAGATGCAGTCTCAGGTCATTCATTCTCTGAAGTCAAATGGCACCCCACCTGTCACCTCTTTGAGGGAAGTCTTGACGGTAGACCCCTCATTATTCAGATGAAGCTCCTCATGATGTGGTCCCTGCCTAGATTTCCAGATCATTTCCATCCTCTCTCCATGTATAACCTCCTTTGAAGCCATGCTGAACAACTGAAGTTCAAAACATGGCTACTCTTACACAATCCTTTCTTGCAAATAGTTTCCTCTTCCTAGAATAATAAAAGCCACTACCATTAAGTAAGCTCTATGACTGGACAACATATAATAAGCTTTATATAGCGTTTTCAGTTTAATCTTCAAAATAATCCTGAAATAGGTCATTCTGTCTTTGGGAAAACAGATTCAGGGAGTATAAAGCAAGACATCTAAGGACATAGAGCTAGTAAGTGGCAGATTCTACACATGAATTCAGAATTAACTGTCTCCAAAATCTAGGCTTTGAGTCATTAGACTATATTACTGCCTTTTTTGTCCACCTAAGGGACTCTAACTAATTAACAAAACTTAATCTAAAATATTACCTCGCCTCTTAAAAAACTTTCTCTTGATGCTGACCCCTCAACTCCCTCCTCTGCTCACAGCACCATGTAATTTTCTCTACCTAAGCACTTACCACATCATTTTAGAATTGTTTGCCTGTCTTTCTCACCAGATTGTGAGCTCTTTAAGAGCCATTTTTGTAACTTTAGACCCAAGCATAGGATTAGGCACCTACCAGATACTTAACAAATGTTTGGGATGAACAAGGAACCTGAGGCTCAGAAAAGTGAAATAATAACTTGTCCAAGATGACGCAGATAAAGCTCCCAGTCCAGTGCTCTTCCTACTGTACCAGGAAGCCTCTCTGGTACAGTTAATGGTTCTAAGGGGGGAAAACGAAGGGCTCTGGTCATGGATGTAAAAATAGGCTTTTTTCTTCACAAGAGGGAAGAATTGAGTCAAATGCCATTTGCAAATCTTTCCACATATTTCCTGATCAGAGTCGTTCAGTCTTAATACTTCATGCATTTGTATATATCCCAGGTGTACACAGCTTCAAGAATAGAAGATTCTAGTCACTACAGAGATGCCCCTCTCAACTCTTCACCTCCTTCTACCTTACATATTACTGCTGCTTGAAACTCACATTGGAGAATCAAGGGATCAATGATGGGCCGTTGCTCACATTCTTCTAATTGCCACATCAACACTGAGGAAACCCAGGTCTCCCTGGCAGGCTTATTTTTTCGAAGATCCACTTACATGGAAGCCTGTAAAACTACCCCTTCTGAACGGTATGTTGAGACTAATGATAAAGAGGAGATGGGCATTCCCCTGCAGTCCTTCAGAAAATGGATGGCTCAGGATGCTTCAATACACAACTCAAAGAGTAAAAAGAATCTCAAGGGAAATTTACCAGCTTTCAGTTTTCCTCTAGGATATTTTAAATTGGCTGTTTCATGTCGAACATTCTAATGACAATGAGGTACTTAGATGCAAAGCAGCTGCTGAGATATTTAAGACAGTGCTGGAATCCTTAGAGTGCAGCATTATAGGTACACGCTGCCTATAAATTTTTGCTCTACCAATTCTCACATCCTCAGACACAGTTCCAAAGCCCTCATTTTACATATACAAAAGAACCAAGAACTATGTATCACCTTTCAGTGATGAGACTATGATGCTTACTTAGTCCTAGCTGAATAGTATTCCGAACGTTTCCTAAGGCTCCAGATTCATTCTTGGTTAGTAAATATTCAACAGTAAGTGGTATGTTAACTGAAAAGTACCAAGCTTTGCTGAAAAGCAAAAATTCACCATTTTTTACTTAGTCAAAGAATGAAACCTCTGACCAGGTAGTAACAAGCAAGACAGGTAACTTGGTCTGTCCCAACTCTTCCTGGGCCTTATAGTTACATTCTGAAAGTAGCTGTAAAACCAATCTGTTTAATATCACCAACAGTTAAGCCTGTGACAATCATGTCTTTTTCAAATCAACTCTACTTCAGTAAAGAAAGTCCAGGAGAGAAAGTCCTGAATGTATCCAGCTCAGAATTTAATCCATTAACACTGCAGGCTAGAGGCTTCTTGCTGTTACCACCTAGACTCTCTGAAGTCTAGAATATAATCCCCTTACATGCAGGGGGTTATGACCATTTTGATCATTTTCCTATCATAACCTCCTGGTTCCACATTACAACCAAAATACTTAATTTTTGAAGACCTTGTTTTATCTTTGTTAACCAGATGTTAGAATGCCCGACATACTGTGGACCCAAGATATTGACAAGAGATACTGGTACGCAACTAAAACCATATTAGACAAGGAGTGGTAGAGTGGCCTTGGGGCACAGTATTTTGAAAACTAGGTACAAGTAATGGACCACCTCAGAAAAAATGAACATAAACACAGAATTTGGTATACAATTTCAGGTTATGCAGAGACCCTGGTTAAGAACCCCTGTCTTAGCAATAGCACAAGATTCTAGTTTTCTCTTGCTCAAAAGATATAGAATATGGATTTCCTTACTGGTACTAGAAACTTCTTGACTTCCTCCATAGCATGGGCCATAAGAGCATAAGCCTCACATGGGGGTCCAAAGACTTCAATGAAGACATGCAGATCCATATTCAAATGGGCGTATTTGGGGTCTCCACCTTTGCGCAGCTCTTCCTCCTGTGGAAAAATGCACAAAAACATCATGTCACTTAGTCTAGGGAGAAAATGACAACTTTACTTCTAGGCCAGAGAGACAGCGAGAAATGACCGCAACACCTAAAAAAATAGTAAAGTGTAAGAAAAAAGTAAAACAAACTCTGGAGAATGATAATTTACACACCCTACTAAACCAGCATTTGGTCTGCTGCTAAGAGTTAACTTGTTTTGAATCCATGGTGTATTCACTGAAGCTTTTATTAAGAAGGTATAGGAGACAAACTCAGTCCCAGTCTCCATTCACGTAACACCTGTTTGCCAAGCATTCATCCATCCATTCATTTATTACCAAACATTTGCTTTTAAATCCCAGGTAGAGCTGTTAATAATCAGCTCTTCTTATCTGCTTACACGGTCTAGAAGTTCTATGGAAGGAAAGAAGTCAGGAGAGAGGAGAAAACTTCGCATAAATCTCATTAGCTAGAATAGCCCACTTCAGCCCTAACTGTATTCATCTAGTCAGAAATGTGAGTGGACAAAAGAGGGTCTGAGAAAACAATGTTCATCAAGTAGGCTGCATAAAAGGAGGCCTGAGAGAGTAAGGTTTTAGGCTGTAGCAGGTATGTTTCCTCTAAGAAGCTGACCCTAGAAAGCTAAGACTATTCTGTTTTGGTGCGAAGTTTCTTGGCACTTACAAAGAGTACAAAGAATGTGGGGCTATGGCTTGGAAAAAATAAGCATTAGGTTCTGTTGTTAGGATTACTCATGGTTCCTTTTGTAATACTTTCTTTTAGTGGGCCTCACATTCCAGTCGCTATACAACAAACCAGTCAACTAAACCTCAGAATCACCTGTACTTACAACACTACTGCTCTCACTTTTTCACATTACTGGAAAGAGAATGTGCTGTTCACATTTTAGTGCCTTTAGTCTGTGTGCGTTTTCGTACATCCAGCTTCCCTTTCAAGCTTTCACAGATAAGCAGCTTACTTACGCTGAAGTTGCTAGTGCCGTTTCCATTACTGTGCAAAGTCAGAAAGAAAACAATTACCAGGGCACACCTAGTTCTTCTAGGGTTGCCAAACAAGTAAATTAACTGGTTTATAATCTCTTATATCCAATGTAAATTTAAAGGAGTCACATTCTGTATATATATGTAAGTGCTAGCTTCCATAAGGCATCCCATCCATACCAGATTCTGGGCTACTGGAAGGCATTAGGATGTCTTCCTGCCTCACTAATGTGAGCTTACCTTGGCTTTGTCTCTCATTGAGCCCTTGCCCAAAACAGAAATCTTTGCACCAGTCTCTTCTTGCAGTCTTTTGATTGTATTCCCTTGTGGTCCAAGGATCTTCCCCACAAAATTGAACTAACAGAAAATGAAGACAGGTTTTTAAATATGTATGTTCCAGTAAAACATTTCCACATTGTCTCATTTATCTTCAATAATCCTGTACAGTAGGGAGAGTGTTATCATTCCCACCTTACTGAGGATATACTAAGGCTGTACTGATAAGTGATAAGCCTACGGTTATCTACGGTGGCAGTTCTTAGACTTGAATTTGGGTTTCCTGATGTAGTTTGGTGCTTTTTCCATAATATCACACTGCAACCGTCTGTACTTTAACACACATAAACATTTTTAAGGCAGTTAATTCAGAACAGAAGAGACACATGGTACCCTTTGGTAGTAATGGTTTGATAAACTAAATACAACCAGTTGCTTTCTAAAAAAAAAGAAAGAAAAAAGGAGGATCAGAAGAAAGCATTTGTTTAAAAGTAAAACTTTGAGTGAAAAATAAAATTAACTTATTTGTGTCACAAGGATTTATGTCATATTTCCTTTATTTAGATTTCAGGTTAATCTTTTGGCAGAAGGCAACTTTTCAAGGTTCAATTTTTTTCTCTGAACTTGGAGCCAGAACAAACATTTGAGAAAAAAATGTTTTTTGATAATAAAGAGATGATATCTCCTTTCTGGCTACAGCTATTTTACTAGTTGTGGACTTGTATGTTTCAACTGCTATTATACAGGTACTAAAGTATGGGACAGAAGATTCACCAGCTTAAGTTTCTGATGCATCACAATCTCCATAAGTCTTCGCCATAGCCCATACTACAAACTACATACTCTCCTACTACAAAGACAACTCAGAGAAGTGAGGCACTCTTTGCTTTACCTTGGGATACTGCTTGACAGGTATCAGCACCCGCTCCTTCAGCTTCATGTTCTTGTGAGAAAATAAATCCAAGTAATTCTCCTCATCGTCCTTTTTTGAATCTCCTTTCTGAATCTTCTCAATTTCTGAATAGGAAAACAGGATTTAATTTAGTTTTGTTCTTGTAAATACAAGGCAAAATTTTGAGTCTGCTTCAAGCAGTAACATGCAGGGCTGTGTAACAAGACCAAGTAGTTCAGATCAGTGTGCTAATTTCAGATGGAGATGGGATGAAAGAACCAAAGCTACATGAGGTTGACTAGGAAACCCAAAGCCTGCTTCTAATAAGAGCACTTTGTTCTTCCACTTCCAGCTGAAGCCTCTACAGAGACATTCAAATGTTCTTAAAAATAAATGGATTTAGAGGTGAGATGGGGAAAAGAGGATAGATGAACTAAAAAAATTAAAATCTGCATCAAGAAAAAGTACTAAGTCATATCTTAACAAAGAGACAAAGTCAATAATTTAAATATACAATGGAGAATCCCATTAAAATTCTGTGATTAGAGTGGGAGGGTACAGCTCGGTGGTAGAACGCATGTTTGGCATGCACAAGGTCCTGTGTTCAATCCCCAGTGCCTCCATTAAGGAAAATGTAATAATAATTTTGTGACAGCAGTGCCTTTAAGAGTTAGAAAGACCTGGTTTTTAAACTCTGCCACTCACTAGTTGTGTGAACTCTGAAACATTTTTTAATTGCTCTGAATTCTGGTTTCTTCATTTGTAAAATGAAGGCAATATCTACATGAGGTTGCTATAAAGACAGAATAAAATAACATACACAAGCATGCTAACTTAAGCCCATTTCTTAGAAGGTGTTTAATATATGTCACTCAATGTCCTAAAGGAAAAAAAAGCATCAAGGTAATTTCAATTCACAAGTTAAGACAAATTCATCAGCAAGAATCTTAGCATCCAAAAAGATCCCCTCAAAAGACTTCCTATCACTAGGGAACTTCATTTATTTAGTGATCACAAGGGTTTGAGTGCTTCCTATGGAGAGGCAGATGAAGGAACAGATAAGGTATGACCACTAACCACTATGGGAGACTTACTAAAGGCCAGGCACCTTGTCCTGTAAAGTGTAGGAGATACAACAGAACACGATAGACATAGTCTCGATCTTCACTATGTCTATATAATAGAGTTTCCAGTTAGCACTGAAGTATAGTTAAGTGTGTAACAGAAGTACTAACAGAGATGGGAGCAGAGTGTGGAGGCAATGAATAGCAACTAAAAGGTTATATGGTCCACTGAGAACAATAAAAAAAACAAACAAAAAAAGAGATTTATATTCCCTAAAGTATACTTCCACAGTGTTTCTATCTTCTATAATTTTAAGGCAAGGGTTCTCAAACTTCACTGTGTCTAAGAATCACCTGGAAGGCTTGCTAAACTAGACTGCTGGGTCCCACCCTGAGTCTGGGATTTCTGTTAAGGAATTTTCATTTATAACAAGTTACTAGTGATGCTGATATTGCTGGTCTAGGAATCACATTTTGAAAACCACTGGTTCAATGTATAAAGATACACTACTTCAAACACATTCCGCAGATCTATATCTTTAATAGTTCTTAAAAGTAACTGTTTAGACTAAGTCCAGCTGTTAAGTACACAGATGAAGGAAAGTTACTGAGACTGACTGACTTCACAGAGTTCAGAATTTCAAACTGAAGGCTTCTGTTTATTAACAAGCCTAATTTCAGATGTTACAGTATACTCCTATAAGAACTCTAAAAGACAGTGCTCTTTGCACTTCTATTTTTCATTGCTTGGAATAGAAAACAAATTCGACCTTACAATCAACAGACTAAATGCTTCATTCAACACCCTGTTTGTTGTTTCACTGGTGGTGTATCCTGACCTCCATTCCTTCCCACTTACTGCTAATATTAACTTTTTGTAGTTTTGAGACTACCATCTCTGAACACACATCCTCTTGAGTTTCCAAGATGGAAAACTGGGTACTCAATCCTCAAAATTCCTATAGGAACAAAGATGCCACATTTCTAATCTGAAAACTTCACTGAGGAGTTTCTGAAAATATGGAGCAAATTACATACTTCATTTTATGTATGTTCCCTCTGTGTGCCCTCATTGCTGCCATCTAGTTAGGTCCTTCAGCTGTATTTTATACCACTTCCCAGAAACTTTACTTGACCAGTGCAAGAAAATAAGACTCAGTCTGTTAAGCTGTTGTACTCCCATAGGAAACAGGGCTGCAAAAATGGAACCAAGCAGAACAGTTTAATATCAATATAATGTGCTCTGTGAATTTAAGGCCTTTATATACATGGATCCTTCTGCTATATTTTGAACTAGTGAAATGTTAATTAGGATCCCTTTGATCAATTTATCTCACAATTAAAAAATATTAAAGGGTTTTTAGACAATTCAGAGAACAATGATTTAAATAAAACAGGATTTGAAAGATAAAAGAAATCAGGAGAGTTCAGCCTAGAATGCTTAAGAGTAAGAAGCACCTTGAGTCTTTATGAAGGGTCATATTCCATGTTTGGAAGGGAAAGACCAAATATTTATTCAATGCCTACTACGATGTATCAAATCCTATACAAATATTACCTCATTTATACTAAAAAGTAACTCAGTGAAATATCTGGTACAATCCCCATTTTGTAACTGAGGAAACTGAAACTCAGAGAAATTAAACCTCTAAATCACAAAGCTGTTATAGTAGTACTAGAATAAGGATTAAAACTCAGGCTTTCTCTAACATCAAACCTCATGCTTTTATTATTGCCTCTCAATGAGGGGGTTGGTTGGGGGGGAGGGGCAGAGACTTTAAGCAAGAAAGTGCTGATTTTGTAAAGTTTTGGGAAGTATAGCTTATACCACCAGACACTGTCATGCAGCTAAAGGCAACAAAGGGGAGCCGTGGGAACCTAAGATGCTCAGCTGCCAGCTCTTTCTTTTTTCACTGTTGTATTTTCCTCCTTGGCCTCACTTCTTGTGGAGAGCTACGAGCAGGCTGTAATGGGAAGGAGAAAAAAAAAAAAAATCAAGAAGCTTCCTAAAAATGGCTTACCCTCAGGCAGAAGTACTTTCTAGACAACCATTTTGAAACTGACTCCTTTAAACAATCTTTGCCTGGGCCTCTGGAGACCTTATATGTCCCAGGAGTCAAAGAAAGAAAAACTGAGGTGTAAACAACACAGAGAGGTGATGACCCATTTGCTTCAAAGCCAGATGTTGGCAATAATCATATCTACTGCCTTCTATGTGTCAGGAATTTTGTATTTATTGTTTCCCTCTGTCTTTATAACCAGGATTATCCTCATTTAACAGGTGAAGAAATCTTGTCCAAGATTACAAAATTAGTGACAGAGTAGGTATTTAAACCCAGGTTATTCCTTATGTCAAAGCAAATTCAACTAATCTTGTGGCATTTCTTCTACTCCATCTTTTACTGTAACAATCTTTCCTTTTTTGGTCTTATCAAAACCACACTGTAAGCTCCAAAGGATGAGAACTGTTTCTTAAATGTATGTCTGAGAAGAAAGAATCTGAGTTGTGAGGCTAGACAGAACTGGGTTTGATTCCCAGCTCTGCCACATGCTTGGTGTGTGACCTTGGGGAAGTCATTAAACCTCATTTAGTCTTCCTTCTTACTTTTAAAAAGGAAAAAAAATTTTAATGGAAAAAAGAGATTTAATGAACAGAAGAATGTTAATACTAGAGAAGTTTGGAAAACTTATGTTAACTTTATCAACTAGACTGGCTTAACTAAGAAAGGCATAAATGCATTTCATTACCTGAACATTTGATAAAGGCTGCATAAGGAGCAAGACAATGGTCACTATTTTCCCGATGAAGGCATCCAGAGATAGTGTTTCCAGGAGGGCAAGATTCATATGATATATGCTTCAAAATGTCAGGGGTCATGCCATTCTCCAGACTATCAATGTATTTGGTTCATACATCTAATGACAGCACTGCTTCCCCCCGCTGGGAACAATTTCTGGCCCCTTTCTATCACTAAACTAAGTATCCGCCATTTGTAGCACGATGTCTAATACACAACATGCATCTATAAATTTTACCGAATGAAAGAAGTGTACCATTAACACCCTCAACTTCCCTTAATGATTCACGTAACTCTATCAACCCCAAATTTATAATTCTCTGCCCTGTATCTGTTAGTAAATCCTTTGAGAATCCCAATTCCAGTAAGTTTACTTTGTATAAAACCACTCCATTCTTTTCATTTTTCAAATTATCTATTATTTAAATCAAGAGCACAGAGCAACAGGTTCTTAATCTTGTTGAAAGTAATGAGCCTCTGCAGACTAGCTCCCCAGAAAAAGATACAAACAACAATATTTCACATTCATTGTTCACTAAGGGTGGGTATTGTTAGAAAAAAAAAAATCCTCCAAAGCCTGAGTTAAGAGCCCTTTTTTAAAGGGCTCAATTCTCAAATTCCAGGACAGTGGCAAACCTTCTATTATGGCATATTGACCACGGTCTCCCAAATCTCTTTCTTAGGGTACAATTTAGAGTTTCAGGCTTTTTTTCTCTTAAAAAAAAAAAAACCAAACCAAACCAAAACAAAACAAAGGAAACCAAAAAACCCTATTTTGAAGTAACCATGGACTTACATGTGGTTGTAAGAAATGAGATCTCATACATCCTTCACCCATTTTTCTCCATGAAAACATTTTACTTACCTATAATACAATATCATAACCAGAAAACTCACATTAATACAATCTACCAACATTATTCAGATTTCACCAGTTTTACATGTACATATTTGTGTGTGTAATTAGTTCTATGCATTTAATTGGATTCATCTGATCACCACCAAAGCCTAGATATGGGACAGTTCACCACAAAGATCCCTCACGCTACCCTTTTGTAGCTAGTCAACGACTTCCCATCTCTGCCTCACACTGACAACCACTAATGTTCTCCATCTCTATTATTTTGTCTTTCCAAGAATGTTAATTAATGGACACATATGATGTAACCTTTTGAGATTAGCTTTTTCACTCAGTATAACTCTACTGAGATCCATTTAAGTTGCTGCATTCATCAAGTTTACCTTTTTAACAAACTATGCAGT